GTTCTTTAGTTATTGATCGGAAACCGTTTTTGCTCACAAGGTCAATGTGACCTTGACCTTTGACCCCTTGACCCCAAAATCAATAGGGGTCATCTACTGATCACGACCAATCACCATACCAAGTTTGAAGTTCCTAGGCCTTAAGGTTCTTTAGTTATTGATCGGAAACCGTTTTTGCTCACAAGGTCAATGTGACCTTGACCTTTGACCCCTTGACCCCAAAATCAATAGGGGTCATCTACTGATCACGACCAATCACCATACCAAGTTCGAAGTTCCTAGGCCTTAAGGTTCTTTAGTTATTGATCGGAAACCGTTTTTCCTCACAAGGTCAATGTGACCTTGACCTTTGACCCCTTGACCCCAAAATCAATAGGGGTCATCTACTGATCACGACCAATCACCATACCAAGTTTGAAGTTCCTAGGCCTTAAGGTTCTTTAGTTATTGATCGGAAACCGTTTTTCCTCACAAGGTCTATGTGACCTTGACCTTTGACCCCTTGACCCCAAAATCAATAGGGGTCATCTACTGATCATGACCAATCACCATACCAAGTTTGAAGTTCCTAGGCCTTAAGGTTCTTTAGTTATTGATCGGAAACCGTTTTTGCTTACAAGGTCAATGTGACCTTGACCTTTGACCCCTTGACCCCAAAATCAATAGGGGTCATCTACTGATCATGACCAATCACCATACCAAGTTTGAAGTTCCTAGGCCTTAAGGTTCTTTAGTTATTGATCGGAAACCGTTTTTGCTTACAAGGTCAATGTGACCTTGACCTTTGACCCCTTGACCCCAAAATCAATAGGGGTCATCTACTGATCATGACCAATCACCATACCAAGTTTGAAGTTCCTAGGCCTTAAGGTTCTTTAGTTATTGATCGGAAACCGTTTTTGCTTACAAGATCAATGTGACCTTGACCTTTGACCCCTTGACCCCAAAATCAATAGGGGTCATCTACTGGTCATGACCAATCACCATACCAAGTTTGAAGTTCCTAGGCCTAAGGGTTCTTTAGTTATCACTCGGAAACCATTTGGTCTACGGACCGACGGACCGACAAGTGCAAAGCAATATACCCCCTTTTCTTCGAAATGGGGGCATAATAAAAGCGCATCAAATTTTCAAAAAGATATCAAATAAGCTTATATATTATAACAACTTTTTTTTTTAAATTAGTAAATTAAATGTATTTGGAAATATGATTCCTTTTAATACAGTAAACTCTGCTTATAACCATATTCAGGGCACCTTTTAATTTATATCCGTATATTGTTATATCTGAGAGACAACCAATTTAAGAACAAGTGTTGGGACCACAACAACAGCATCCTTATGGTATATTGTTTTAAGTGATATCGTTATAAGTGGAGTTTATTGTATGTAATAAAGTATACACTAAATAAAACAGGAAGCTAAATATATCCTGAAAAACAAAATGAAAAGATATAATGGTAAAATAATATTATTACAACTTTAACCAGAACATAATATTTGAGGTTATAAGTTATCATAAATCTCAACCCGACTACAGTCCGTTCAGGACAGGTTACCATTGACATCTGAATATAAAATGTCGCGGTTCCATTAACGGCAGGACCGAGGAAAATAACAGTCCCTTTGTGATTGGTTGAATTATGGGATACCGTCTCTTACTACTGCAAAATACATGTAACAACAAAAACATGCAAACATGCTATGATACAAATAAATACATGCAAAACATAAAACAATATATGACATCTTGAGCAAAAAGATATCAGTCTGGTAAACATAATGAAAAAATGAAACAACCCCTATATTACATCAAATACTATCTGTTTTCTTTTTTCTTTTTTTAAAGAAAATGGAACTACCATGTTCAAAGTTTACATATTTTTATATTAATTTTTTTTTTTAATCTGAAAGTATTGAGAATTTACTGCCAAAAAATATCTTTTTGTCAAACACATAACATTCCATGAATGATTTTGATATATAAAAACAAGTTTTTGTTTGATATCTGTGCAAGTGACTCCAATCATTTCATTTCAAAGCCATGCAAAACCATGCAACTTTTAACTTTACAAATTTAAACGATTGCATATGATAAGCTATCTAAGGCATAATTCCTTTTTACTAAATATTTGAGGAGTTGCAAGACTGTTGTTAAACCCAGTAAAAATACTAATTTAAGCTAAAAATCTGTTATTTTTATTTTCATATACTTTTATATAAACAATGTTAATACACATGTATTAATATTGAAATCCTTAAAGTTGACAAAGGACTGATCTTGATTCAAAGCATACAATACAATGACTCAGAATTGCTGATATCCTGCCTTGAATTGTAATCAAGGGGGTGCTAGTTCAATCCTCAGCCGAGGTGAAATTTCTTCGTACCAATTTATCCCTGACATCGAGTCTAATGATTCTTAATCTCCTACCGCTGATTTAAGAATCATACAGGATAAGTAATCTGTCACTTGCAGAAACATTGGTCATTACTGGTTAACTATCCAGGAAAGCTATCTGACTGCCGAAACATGACCAAAAAAAAATTGATAAAGTTGGTGTAAAGACTACTGAACAAACAAGTCCCTTGTAAGCTTTAAAGGTTTCAATATCAATATATACTAACATTAAGGTGCCAATCTTGTAAAATATAATCAGATTGCAAAAATGCAAAGGCTGACTTGACTTTTTAATGGTGTCATAAGCATGTCATTACAACACTGCTGTAGCTTTTAGAAAGTTAACCAGATAAGCAGTTATCAACAAAATGTGCACATGACAGGTGGTGAAAATTGTGAATATTAAAATAGTTAGTACTTCTACATAGTCTTCCCGTATTCTGAAAAAGATACGAAAATTATTGAAAGTTTCAACCACACAAGTATATAGACAGACAAATATACAGAAATTGTAACTAAAACACTTCAATACATGTAAATATCTAAGTAACAAGGATAGAATTTTTTTTCTAGATTTCATGACCATAGAAAGAAACAAGAGCTGTCGGTAGGACAGCAACGCTCGACTATTCTTAGTGCTTGATAGTAAAAAAAATGCTTGATACAATTACCTCCTCCTGTTTACAGGTTGGGGTCATGATGGTGAACAAGTGTGCAAAGTTTCAAAGCCATATGTCAATGGACTTTGAAAATATTTGAACTATTACAAAAACTTTAACGTAAATTCTAAGTCGAAAAAGGGGCATAATTCTGTCAAAATGCTTGATACAGTTACCTCCTCCTGTCTACAGGTTGGGGTCATGATGGTGAACAAGTGTGTAAAGTTTCAAAGCCATATGTCAATGGACTTTGAAAATATTTGAACTATTACAAAAACTTTAACGTAAATTCTAAGTTGAATAAGGGGCATTATTCTGTCAAAATGCTTGATACAGTTACCTCCTCCTGTCTACAGGTTGGGGTCATGATGGTGAACAAGTGTGCAAAGTTTCAAAGCCATATGTCAATGGACTTTGAAAATATTTGAACTATTACAAAAACTTTAACGTAAATTCTAAGTCGAAAAAGGGGCATAATTCTGTCAAAATGCTTGATACAGTTACCTCCTCCTGTTTACAGGTTGGGGTCATGATGGTGAACAAGTGTGCAAAGCTTCAAAGCCATATGTCAATGGACTTTGAAAATATTTGAACTATTACAAAAACTTTAACGTAAATTCTAAGTCAAAAAAGGGGCATAATTCTGTCAAAATGCTTGATACAGTTACCTCCTCCTGTCTACAGGTTGGGGTCATGATGGTGAACAAGTGTGCCAAGTTTCAAAGCCATATGTCAATGGACTTTGAAAATATTTGAACTATTACAAAAACTTTAACATAAGTGGTTACGCCGACGCGGACACCAACGCCGACGCCGACGCCGACGCTCGGGTGACTACAATAGCTCTACTTATTCTTATCGAATAGTCGAGCTAAAAACATAGTAAAACAGAAAATAAATGTTGTAATGACATCAGAATTCAAAACACTCTGAAAAAATAATGTGAGATAATCTATTACAATAAAGTCAGGCTAAATGACCTGAAAGCATAGTGACTGAGATGTGAAGTTTTTTAATGAAGCAAAAAAAAAAAACCAACTGTCAGGTGGGCAAAACGGAGGAAAATGGTTTACCTTTAGTAGACAATAGGGTGAAAATTTAGGTGGGTTGTTTAGATTTTATAACTATGGGATATAAATTGAGGTGATGTGTGAGATTATTTGAAGTGGGAGTTTATATTGAGTGAGTCAGGTATAGAAATTAAGGTGAGCTGTGACATAGTTTTTAGGAATAGTTAACATTGAGTGACTGAGATGAAGAATTGTTTTCCTTGAGTGAGTCCAATAAAAAAGCTAAGGTGAACTGTTTTAAGCTGAGCTTTTAGGAGTTGTTTACCTTGAATGAGTCAGGTATAGAAACGTAAGTAAGCTATGAGGTAAGATGAGAGGTAGCTTTTTCAAGTTGTTTACCTTGAGTGAGTGAGGTATAGAAACTAAGGTGAGCTGTGAGTTTCTTTTTAGGAATTGTTTACCTTTAGTGAGTCATGTATAGAAACTAAAGTGAGCTATGAGGTAAGATGAGAGGTAGCTTTTTTCAAGTTGTTTACCTTGAGGGAGTGAGGTATAGAATTATTTTCCTTAAGTGGCTTAAGTGAGCCCAATAAAGCTAAGGTGAACTGTGATGTACTTTAAGGAGTTATTTACCTTGAGTGAGTCAGGTAAAGAAACTAAGGTTAGATCTGTGAGGTATTTTTAAGTGAAGTTGGGTATAGAAACTAAGGTGAGCTGTTAGTTTCTTTTTAGGAGTTGTTTACCTTGAAAAGGTCAGGTATATAAACTAAGGTAAGAATTGTGTGAGGTATCTTGAAGGAGTCTATTTTGAGTGAATTCAGGTTTAGAACTAAGGTAAGATGTGAGGTTAGTTGAAGTGGAAATTACATTGAGTGAAGTCAGGTATAGAAACTAAGGTGAGATGAGAGGTAATCTTAATGAATTGTTTACCTTGAAGCAACATTACTGTAGGCTAGAAATTCTTGAAGCATACTGCAAACAATCAAATCTTTTATACTATAGATGTGTAACATATTAGCTAGCTAAAAACAACAAAAAAAAGACCAATAGATACATGCTCTTCATCACATGACTTCTAATTTTAGTTCAATATCAAAACAATGCAAAAATTGTTTACATTCAACAGCTGTTCTTTCCACACTTATTATCTTAGATGGGCCTAACCATCTTTCAACCTCAACATTTTAAAGGAAAATTTCAAAATATGTTCTGATTTAATAGCAAACTGTGCAGACCATGATCAGGTGACACAGATGTGATCTTGGTCTGCAATGGTCTGAATTGATCTCATGGGTATATTCAGATGCCACTATATTTTGGCTTTTGAAATTTTAGAAAATCACTAATTATCATAAGTGTGACTATTTGTACATGTGGCAAGGACACTAGACAGAAACAATGTTTCCCAAGTAGGAACGGCGGCATGGTCGAGTAGTCACGTTGGACTAGTAATCTAATGATTGCTGACTGCGTGGGTTCAAACCCTGTCAGGGGCAAGCCGTTATTCCTTGAGCAAGAAACTTTAAATTCATTGCTTAGTACTGGTTGGTTCCAGAAACAGATTCAAGAGTGTTTCAATAAGCTTATAGCTTCCAACACAATCAAACTAAAATAAGTTTGTATAAACTTAACTAGGGAAATCCATCATTTTTGTGTCTATTATTATTCAGTCATTTATGAAATGAAAACAACTTGAAAAGCTGTATATTTTGTATATTACAATTGATACCAAAACTTAAAATTTTAAAATCAAACACTGGTTCATTTTTTATCAGCTGTCATCATCCAAGCATAGCTAGCAAAGTGATATCCTTAAAACTCTTAAAGGGACTCCACTGAGGCTTTTTGACATGAAAGGACTGGAAATAGTTTTCAGAGATTTGTGTTTCATTCAATACAGGTACAGACCAATAACTTTTTATCAGATTATTCCCTCACCTGGTTTTTCTGGAATAATCATTTGAGCCGCGTCACGACAAAACCAACGTAATGCGTTTGCGACCAGCATGGATCCAGACCGGCCTGCACATCCGCACAGTCTGATCAGGATCCATGCTGTTCGCTATCAGTTTCTCTACTTGTAGCGAACAGCATGGATCCTGATCAGACTTTGCGGATGCACAGGCTGGTCTGGATCCATGCTGGTCGCAAACGCATTACGTTGGTTTTGTCGTGGCGCGGCTCATTTTAATTGTGCAAACTGAACCAAAAATGAAAATTCACTAAGAATCGCACAAAAAAAAAATCATATCAAGTTTAATTCTGAGTATATTTCTTAATTATACTTTGCTGATTTTTCCATTTTAAGTGCTTCACTTGATCTAAGTAAAAATATCAAGTTTTATGTGTTTAGGCTTTTTTACCTCAGTGGAGCTCCAATAATAAATACCTTTCATGTAACAAAAGAAAATCAGCCCTAGTACTGAAATTAACATAATTATGTCCTATATTAAAGCTAAAAGAATTATATAATTGGGGACAATATACTGAAAAAAAAATCATAAACCACACATACATACATATTTAAAAAAAAATGTACACTTTCTACCCATCCTAAATTCTAGCTTTTTTCCCTAAATAGGTAACCTAAGTTGGTAATCAAAATTGGTATCATGTAGGAATGACAGAACTCTATGAAAGCATTACTTATCAATAAGTGCTTTAATCTAACAAAGCAAATCTCTAAATACAAGGCATTTTGACAAAGAACAATGCAGAGTTACATCCCTTGCCTGCCTCTTTCTTAGGCAATCACAATAAAAAGTACATGTACACAATTTTTAAAAAATGAGGTCCAAAATTTCTTAAAATCATTATCTAATTTCAATATTTCATTACACTGGCTTTTCAAGTGAACAAAAAGTCAGGGAAATCTTCATAACCTTTTAACATAAAACCTTTCACAAACATAAACCTTAAAACATAATAATAATCAGAGATGTTATCCATGACCTATGTAAATGCTCTTATATTTTGTGATTTTGAAAGAAACTTAGACAAGCTGAAATTTAAGGACTGTTTGCAAAAGACATAAAACATTATATATTCTGATTAAATAAATAATAGAAAGTAAATCAAGTGAGAAAATAGTGCTCTGTGTAGGGAATCAAAATACAACTTACTTATCCCCTATAGAGCCCCTGGGTTTCCAGAAGTTTAGTTCTACATCAAAGTCAAACTGGTCCATATTGACATATGTGTAATGATCTTCACTCTCTCGTAGTTTACTCTCCATGGCACCATTGGCAACTATAACATATACACAATTTAAATATATCACACAATAAAATGAGACCTTTAAGTGTTTTGTTTGTTTTGTTTTGTTTTATGGGCCACCCTCGCATTTGAGGTCTTATGGCACTGGAACAGGAAAGATGAATTTGGCTAACAACAGGTGTTGCAACCTTAAAGCAACATCAGGGGTCAATACCACCTCACCTGCTGGAGCTAAGAGATGCATACACTCCAGCAATTTGAACCCAGTAAGACGCCACTTATGATCATGCAGAGATAAACAGTAGTTGCAATTCTGACCTCAACCTACGGGAAAACCCTAACCAAAAGGGGGTAGTTATGGGTTTTTTTGGTACTATATAAAAAAATTTTTTGTCACTTAAACCAACTAATAATGAAATAATTCTTTTTCCTGTTTTTGAATTTTTTGACAGCGTTTTTAGAAATTTTACCTATACCATGCTAAATATCTTAAATAGACAAGCCCATCTTTCTATGTGGATCAAACCATTAATCATTTTTAAGGAAAATTTTTAAATATGCACTGACTGAATGGTTGCATGGGTCAATTCAGTCCTGGTCAGAAGGACAATAGTTAATGGACAACTTGGTTGATAGGGTCAGATTGCTAGAATGTGCATAGTTGCCTTGTCTATTGAAAAACCAAGAGCAAAAACTAACAATGATCATTAAATTAAACACACGACCTTTAGAAAAATAATATGATGCTTTGTCTTTATAAGATATTTGTATTAAAGCATTCAAAAGTGGTTATACTTAAGTATTATTTTCACAATAATCAAATAAGATCTGTCATTATCATGTCAAATGTTTCATAAAGTGCTAATGTACAAAGTAACAAAAACTAGTAGATCTACCTGGCACAGAGTCCATTGCAACATGAGCAACAAATGGCTGCGGTAGTCCAATCACTTTACCAAGTGTCTGAAATATAAATCATCAGGATGTAAAAATATCAGATAGTTTTGATATTTGTGATTCTGAAAAATTTGCCATTTGCTTAGTCATTCTGCAATCTATCTTTGCTGTAAAGTTACTTTTTTTGCTAGATTTTCAGGCACACCAACATAGTATAGGTACTATGGCGACTTTTCAAGCTTTACTGATTATGCAAAAATTCGGGTGCCCATCCGTTCATTATTTCAGGCATAAGCCTGCACCTGAGTAGAACCATCCACATGCTGTCAGCTAGCTGGATAGTTTTCTCACATGAAAAATCCCAAATGCGACCCTGTGCAGGATGCTGTAATGCTATACTGTTTTCCTTAATACAGATGTATGTTAAAAGATAAGCAATAGAAATGTGCAATTCTAAACTTTTATTCATGAATAAGATAAGAATGTAGAATAAAATATTCATAGAAGTATGACAAAGAAAACTCAAGTCATTTTTTAACAATGACACTTGTGAAAAAAGTTTTTACCTGTGGTCCTAGAAGCAAATAGTCTCCAAGACCTGAAATAAACAAAAACATTTGATAGATAAACAGAGGATATTTTTTTTTTTTGTTCATCATCGACATTCACTTTAAATATGACAAACTTGTCCTGATATCAGTTGCAAGTTTGGGGATTTCAATATCAAAATGATAACATTAGGCTGATAGAAATAAGTCTGATGTGACTGTACAAGTGCTCTAGAGAAGCCATTATTTCTTTACAACCATTTATAGCTTGGAGTTTTCAACACTTACCATGCTAAAAAAATTCAATAGACTTGTCCATCTTTTAATATGAACCAATACAATAACCATTCATTGTTTCTTGTGAAAATTTTAAAAATGTTCACCAGCTGAGAAATTTTACTGGCTGAATAGTGAAAAGTGCAGCCAGATAAAGATTACTGGGACGTCCCCGGGGACTATTGTCTTATTTCATGAAAGAGCATTTTCCGCAAGCATCATATTTTTACAAAAATTTCACATCAAATAATTTTAATTTTATGGAATAATAAAAATGAAAATAATTTTAGTCTTATACATAGGGGGAAGGGGTTCACCACAGAAAATTTTACTGGCTGAATTGAAAAGTGCAAAACCATGATAAGATTACGGGGAGGGGCTATGAGCTTCTGAAAAAACATTGCCCCCAGAACAAATGGTTAAAAACATTTCACCCCAATAGGGTGTATCGCAATAAAAAACCCATGAAATAAATATCTTGAACATACGGGGAAGTTTTCCCTATTTTTTCACCTGTCTACGGCATAAGACTGATGAGGATCCAATTTTGGATTGTTAAAACCCTTAGCATGGAAATCTGCTGCATCTAATGGTGACCTTGAACTCTTCATTGGCACTGATTTTGCTGCCTGGAAAACATATTGCAATATTTGAAATAAAAATTTACTCCTGAACTAACTCAAATCTTCCAAATAAAAGTAACCATAGATACCAGAAATTTTGAGATGACCAACTATTTGTCTTTTTAATATTACCCCAATCAATTATTTTCATTCCAAAAAGGCTCTAACCCCAAACCCCTTTTAAACCTTTCCTTCACCCAATCCCCAAATTTACGATATCTCACACTGCCAGAAAAAATCCTTTCCTTTAAACCTTTAAAATCCTGCATTAAGGAAAGTTTTTAAATTTATTTATACCAAAAAAAACCCTTTTTTTTCACCTAATATTACCTTTTTCCTTCCCATAATATGGCCTTACCATACCCCCTTTTTTACTTTCTAAAAATATATTTACTCCTAGTCTAATATAGCCCTTATTCCTCATCAATTTATATGCCTTATTCCATACCACAAATAGAGCCTTTTTCCTTACCCAAAAGTAGCCCATATTTATTACACCAACATTGCCCTTATTCTTTATCTGTTTATAAACCTTACTCCTTACATCAAATATAGCCCCTTTTCCTTACCCAGAGGAGGCATGCAATCTTTGTTTTCAAAGACACTTCTTTAAACACACAAAATATCACTCCTATGCAATATGAATTTATAAATATTTTCAAAGTAAACTTACTGTAACAACTTGATCCTCCACAGAAAGTGTTTGCGCTTTGTTTGTCAAGTTTAATGACTGTTCCTGTACTTTCTGTAGTAAAAAATCAGACAACTCTTCATACAACTTCTTTACATCTCCCTGCAAAAAAGAAAAAAGAAATTGTGATTATACTATATGTATTACCTTTTAGAATGAAGTCGGAGTTTGAATAGAGTTCACTAAAGATTGTGGTAGTAAAAAGATCTCGGAAAAGGGTGATCCCTTGGAAAAAAGGCAGAGGCTATTCCAACTACTTGTACATGTAGTTATTTTATCAAAAGTTCATTTCTGTTGAATTATCAAAAGGTTGTTTATACTTTAAAGAGGATCCTTTAAAATAAGGATAAAATAAAAAGCAATAAACAGTTGAATTTCGATATCACTTTACTAATTTATTTTATTGTCAAAAATAAGACAGCAAAGTAAGTCAAATAATAATACAAGAGATAGAGACAAAAATAATATGGTTATATCATAAAAAATGAGCCACTAGACTTACCCCAGAACATTCTATTGACTGTGACAATTTGCTGACTTTTTCGGTGATCATGTGATCCCCTGTTGCCGTGACGACAAGATTCATCACTCCTGCAACATATCATAAAAAGCTTTATACTGGTGATCATGTTCATGTCTAGTCAATTATCCTATGGCTTCAACACTCACAATGCTGGAACCCAAAAACAGTCAAGCCTTCGCTACCAGTAAAGAGCCAGGACAGCTTGCACATCAGTGCAATCTGTTTTTTGGTGTGTCTTTTTTAATTTTTATCGTGATATTTCTAGAATTTTTAACGGGCTGTTTTAAAATCAGTTCAGTCCAAGTGTTTTATGAAAATTTAACAATGAATTGGTTATGAAACTGACAACACTTATTTCTTACAAAAATACGAGGGGTTATCCAAAAATTCGTGGACTTTCTTTGTTGCGTAAAATATATTTGAGATATTAATTTGAAAATCTTACACTGGTTAGAAGAATTAATAACAAATAAACACAGAAAAATTCATGTGAGTAGCTTTTTACATTCCAACAATATTTAATTTTACATAAACACATGTTGGCGACAGCGGCGCACTCCAAAAAATTATTGACGTCAACGTCATAATATTAAAGTACAACTTGTGCTTCAACGTTATGCAGTCAATGACGGTTACTGCTTCTCAAAGTAATGTTAATCACTAAATTTCTTATGCCACTTTAACACTAATGATTGTGAAATTTTCTTTTCTCTGTTCGTCTGCTGATTTTTATGAAATGTTTTTGTAAGTGTCATCCCCAAATTACAACAAAAATTATGATCGGTATATGATCTTGCGATTTTCTAATTACCGCGTGTCCGTCATTTTGCCGTTGTAAACAATAAAGGCGTCTGGTGTTTCTAGCGATATCAACAAAAGTAAACGGAAATGACGTCCATTATTTTAAAGAATTACTTAAATGACATCATAGAAGAAACATGCGATGTTCAGCGGGTTTTCTACGTTATTTTTTAGTTTTTTTATAGCAAAAATATACGATGACTTACTGCGTTTTTCTACCGTGCGCCGGTTGCCGTGTATGTGCTTATTTGAAAGCAATATAAAATCATTATTTATGGACACAATTGACTGTTTCTTTCAAAATGTGTTGATAATATTCTACAATGTATGCTGATAAAATTTCATTACAATACACGTTGATGTTCAAGAGATATTTAAAAAGTCCACGAATATTTGGATAACCCCTCGTATATCATGTCACGAACAGCATCAAGTAATCAGTGTGGGGGCATGACTGAGTGTGGCGGTGTGACTGAGTGGTAACGAGTGGGAACTAGTAATCTGTGTAGGTTCAAACCCTGTCAGAGGCAAGCCATTGTTTCCTTGAGCAAGAAACTTTATACTCATTGCTAAGTACTGGTTAGTTTCAGGAACAGATTCGAGTCTTTCAATAAGCTTATAGCTTCCAACATAATCAAACTAAAGTAAATTTGTATAAACTAAACAGTATATAATTTGAAGGCTACATATCTATAAATATTATTTGGCGTTAATTTTTTTAATATAGATATGATTACAAAGTGCTAAAGCATTAAAAGTGTGTGTAAATATAGGACCTTGTCATAAATAAAACACAGGACATACATGTACTCAAAAGGCAGACGGAACAGAACAATAAGCTGTGCAAATGGACAAAACAATGAAATGTGTGACAACATGTAAATTTTCTATTGTTAAGTATGTTATAGTAGAGAATTGTGGATAAAAAGCATTGATGAAAATTGTTAAAATAGCTTGAAATTTGTTTGGACAACTTTCAAGTTCACCTCCTGTAATTGCATGTATTCAATACTGTTCATTATTCCCTAGTAGGGCCCAAACCCACTATTCCAGGGCAGACAGGAAGAAACTGTAAATGAGTAATAAAACAATGTATTAACTCTACCTACAGAGGTAGTTGAGCTAAAATATACACTTAACCTGATACGTAACATGGTACCTAGCATGATGACAATATGGGTTACAGATTTTGGTAAGACCTAAAATCATTTCACCCTTCTCTCAAATCATAGTTTGCAAAGGTCAATAAGTTACAACGTGAGAAAGCCCTTTCAGCTCCTTAAAATTTACGAAACATCTTTGTCATATATTTTTTAAAATTATGCCATAATTGGAAAATGTCCCCCAAAAACTCAAATATGGCGAAAAATTAAAAGGGCAATTTTCTGGTTTTACTGATGAAAAAAGACTCAAAACCCCTCAGTTTGTTATTTTTAGGTAACTGGCACTTAAAGGGAAAACCATGACTTTTAAACAAAAAATGATATCGTGTAACACAAAAACCCTAAGTCCTAGCAACTTTAACCACTGTTGTGGGGGGGAGGGGGGCATCCTTTTTTTTTTTTGTGATTATACCCGCAAGACAAGATTTGTAAATGAAGAACAAAAACAGAGAATGAATGTGAGGAAGTCAAGAAACATTACATAGGTAACACATTGATATATACTACACATGAGGAAAACAGACGGAATTTATTCACTCATAGGTCAAAGGGAAGTAACTATTGATAGATATATCTAAAGGGAACTAATCCTTACCAGCTGCACCAGGCATATCTATAAACCAGGCAAATTACATAGAAAAAACAGTTCATAACAATATTAATACTAATTTTTTATATATTTTTTTCTGTTTATATGACACAAACTCGTGTTATATATCTACACAAACATCATTCCATGCAATAGTACTGCAAGAAAACATACCGATTACAAACATGCAATAAACTGACAAAGAAGACAATACTATGTTAATAATTTTTCTTTTTTCGTACAAGAATGACTAGATTTAGGAAGACAAATCTATTATACTAAAATGTTGACTCTGTTATATCACCCCCCACCCCCACCCCCATACTATGAAAAATATTCATCACTTGAATACTCTACCATTATATTAAATGCTGACATCTTCAATTTAATTAAATGTTGACAAAGAATAAAATCAGGTTTGAATCTAAGAATTTTTATTACATTTATCTTATTGCTCAAGTTTTGCAAGTTCAAATTTATTATTATCAAAACTACAAAGAAAATCAGACCCTCCCTAAACCTACAAAAATATATGCAAAATAACATACTGCAGTCATTATATGAGCCCCGCCATGACAAAACCAACTTAGTGCGTTTGCGACCAGTTTCTTTAATTGTTATAGGGTTTGTAAGCGAATAGCATGGATCCTGATCAGACTGCGCGGATGCATTATGTTGGTTTTGTCATGGCGTGGCTTATATATTTATGATAATCTCTCATGTGAAATTAAGACACAAATAAATAAAAATTATATAAAACCTCCAGCACAAATAGCACAGATAAATTACTGATAGTAGATAAATATATAAGTCTGGTACAAATAGCACAGATAAATAAACTGATAAATATAAAATGTCTGGGACAAATATAAAAATTCCAAGTTGAAAACGTGAGGAAATGTTTCATAAATAATGAAATAAAAAAAACTTACCAACATCTTTATCAATATATTCAAAGAATTCTGGAACTATACATAACAACTGTACTATCTCTGAAGCTAGCAGACATTTATAATCTCTGTATCTGAAATAAAAACAGGATTCAACTAGAGGATGCTTTTGTAAAAAAGCGCATGTCTCCCCCACTGCTGAGAATAACTGTGAATGGAAACAGGAATGGAAATGGAGATAAAAGAACAGAGTATATAAAACCAGACAACTGATATATCACTGATATATCAATAATAGTTAAATGTCCTCACTGATAAGAACTCTAGTTATCATCCGAAATGAGAAAATGACCAATGGTCACTGTGACCTTAACCTTTGACCTACTGACCCCATAAACAAGAGGGATCATCTGCTCAATAAGACCAATCATCCTATGAAGTTTGAGGGTTGTAGGTCTAAAGGAACTCTAGTTATCATCCGGAAAGGAGAAATTAACCAACGGTCGCTGTGACCTTTGACCTTTGACCTACTGACCATTAAAACAATAGGGATCATTTGATTAATAAGACCAATCATCCTATGAAGTTTGAGGGTTGTAGGTCAAAAGGAACTCTAGTTATCATCCGGAAATGGAGAAATTGACCAACGGTCACTGTGACCTTGACCTTTGACCTACTGACCCCAAAAACAATAGTGATCATCTGCTCTATAAGACCAATCATCCTATGAAGTTTGAGGGCTGTAGGTCAAAAGGAACTCTAGTTATCATCCGAAAACGAGAAATTTGACCAACGGTCACTGTGACCTTGACCTTTGAACTACTGACCCCAAAAACAATAGGGATCATCTGCTCAATAAGACCAATCATCCTATGAAGTTTGAGGTCTGTAGGTCTAAAGGAACTCTAGTTATCATCCGGAAACGAGAAATTGACCAACGGTCAGTGTGACCTTGACCTTTGACCTACTGACCCAAAAACAATAGGGATCATCAGCTCTATAAGACCAATCATCCTATGAAGTTTGAGGGCTGTAGGTCAAAAGGAACTCTAGTTATCATCCGGAAACGAGAAATTGACCAACGGTCAGTGTGACCTTGACCTTTGACCTACTGACCCCAAAAACAATAGGGATCATCAGCTCTATAAGACCAATCATCCTATGAAGTTTGAGGGCTGTAGGTCAAAAGGAACTCTAGTTATCATCCGGAAACGAGAAATTGACCAACGGTCAGTGTGACCTTGACCTTTGACCTACTGACCCCAAAAACAATAGGGATCATCAGCTCTATAAGACCAATCATCCTATGAAGTTTGAGGGCTGTAGGTCAAAAGGAACTCTAGTTATCATCCGGAAACGAGAAATTGACCAACGGTCAGTGTGACCTTGACCTTTGACCTACTGACCCCAAAAACAATAGGGATCATCAGCTCTATAAGACCATTCATCCTATGAAGTTTGAGAGCTGTAGGTCAAAAGGAACTCTAGTTATCGTCCGGAAACGAAGAATGGACGGACGGACGGACTGACGGACGGACGGACTGACGGACGGACGGACTGACGGACGGACAGGGCAAAAACAATATGTCTCCCCCCGAGGTGGGGGAGACATAATAATTTTTCAATATATTCACTATAGGCATAATAATCGTTTAAAACAACATTACTAAGAGGTTAATACTTGGTTGCTGCCCGCCATTACGCCATAATGGCTTGAAGATGTGCATAATGGCCTTAGAGCCGCAGGCCCAAAGGACATTATGGACTCGAGCGCCATTATCGCATAATGCGATAATGGCGAGCAGCAACAAAGTATTAATATCTTTAATACCTATGTCCGAAATACGGTATTAAGACATCGCCGTTAATCTTGGTTGTCGCCCTTTCTAAGAAACGAACAGTTGTCAATGTAAACAAATATCTGTCATTCAGTTTTAACCCTCAGATTAACGTTGAAAACAAGACAAAAATATAAATATGAGACAATGTTGTTTTATTGTTGTTTATATCGATAAATACTCATATTTTTTGTGAGAATAACATTTAGTGCCAGTTTTTTTAAAATCTTTTGTGCCTTCAAGACTCAGATGTCTAACTCTAAATGCCACCGATCCAAACTTTTTTCTAACGTCAAACTGAAATCATTTTTGGAAATTTCTGATGGTCATGTTTTGTCTTGGTTAGAGTAGAGTTATTGTATTCTTTCCTTGAGTTTATAAATCTTCAATGTTAAGCTTTGTAAATTGTGATTAATTATGTCATTTAAACTTAAAACTTTGAGTGCAAGTGACTACAGTTCATTCAACGTCAGCAGCCATCTTGAGTTGATATCGTCATTTTGCACATACGCTCATTCACTAACCAATTATGGAAAAATAATGCCAAGTAGCAAAGCAGCCGAAATTGCATAATGACCTAGATCTTGCCATAATGGCCTTAAAATACCCTAGATTTTGTTACTATATATAGTAACATAGGTATTAAAGTCATGTACAAGTCATGGTCATCAATTAAATGTGTACACAATATATCTTGCCTGTCCTTTGTGGAACACAAATACCACATTCTGACCCAATTACAAATATTAGCCATGGTTCATTATCTTGAAATTTTAAGAAAGATCTGACCTTGACGGTCAATGCCATTTAAGGGTCAAGGTCATATTACATATATGTCAAAATTAAGTTGAATACAAGCATGAACACCCAAGCTTACAGAATGAGGATGTGAAAATGAAAATAATTTAATTTTAAGCAACAATGTCAAATTCAAAATTATCACAACATAGCAAAAGAAAGATGCACTTACAACTGTGTCATTTTTAATTTTGGCGATGTATTTTTACCAAATATGGAATTTGATAATTTTGATAACTCTGCTACAGTGTAAAACAGACATAAATACAGTTTGTCGTACAGTCCACCATCCTGAAATACAACAAGAACATCCTTTAGTTGAGTTCTAAATCATATTTTTTCAAAGCAGAGGATTGACAGCAATAGAAATTGTTCTTCTAAAAAAAAAAAATTCAAAATAATTTTTTTAATTCTTTTTCTTTTTTTCTTTTGTTTTGTTTGTGAGATTTTTAATTCTAACAACACTGTATAGATCAAACAGTGACTTTCCTGCTTTACTGGTGGAGGATTCTGTGAGGTTGATGAAGGCACCCCTATAAAAAATGTTGAGCGTTCTTTGCGTAAGTTATTCTTTGCGGTAATTTGGCGCAGTCTCCGCCATGTTTTAAGTAGAAAGAATAAAGGCAATGAATTAAGAACATATTCTTTTCTTTTTAGGTAAGTATTAACAAGTAGGAGAAAGAAAAAGACTTTCTTCGATAGGTTTATTCATTGTATTTTTTGTTTATCGTAACTGTTATCAATGACATTGTATTGTTTAGCTTGCAAACATGTTTAAAGTTGAGAGTCATATGTTTTCGCGGATAAACGTTTTACATACGTATTTTGATATTCATCTATATATCATCATATTTTTACTGTTTATTGTTAATACGCATTTTATATGATAACTATGAACTTTTTGTAAGTAAAATACAGTTTAATAATTGTTTAGACAATTATTTAGAATAGCATGTGTTATGCCATATTTGGAAAGAGCTCGGTAAATGAACCCAAAGGCAATTAAACGACATAAAGTCGAACATATACAATATTGTTTTGAGCATTGTTTATATGCTATTTGTCTAACCGAACATATAACAATTCATTTATTATCTTTCATCTTTTGTTAAGTATATACAGTTATAAGTGCCAAATAAATTGATTGTCAGTATTATCATTTGTGCCAATGATTTAGATTGTTATTGTTTTATGCATAATAGTAAATTCTCAAGTTAAGTTTCTATAGTAGCAGTTTAGTAATCATCAGTTTAATATGTTTTTATTTCAATCAGATATATAAATAATTAAGGTTGTGTCGTTAATCAGGTTATTATTATTCATTCCAAACATTTTACATTGCAGTATTATCATAATAATGATTTATATTTTAATACTCTTTGCATGTACCCCTAGACATGAGTAAAGTCAAAACATTGTTATTTTTAGTTGTGAACAATTAGTTAAATGTTATTATGCCACATGTTGTTATGCAACGGCAGTCTCCGCCATGTTTTAAGTAGAAAGAATAAAGGCAATGAATTAAGAACATATTCTTTTCTTTTTAGACTCCGTATCATATCTTCAATTTGACCCGGCCAACAATTCCTCAGGGCTGTCCCCACCTGCATTATTTTAGGCACAAGCCGGCAACAGAGTAGAGCTTCTAAATTATGGATGTGCAAGCAGGCCTGGCATTATTCTGCTGGCAACAGATAAATGCTTTTGTTCTCAGCAGCTTAAGGTTTAATCAACAAAATGTATTTTCATTTGAAGCAAGTGTTCACTAACCTCTTTAGAATCTTTATCGACTTTGACAGCACCCAGCAATATACACACAATATGACAACGGATATCTTTTGGCAGTAAAAACAAGTCCATAGAATACACTTTACTGAAACATAGAATAAGCACATTCTTTTTTTTCAAATGATACAATAATGAAAGCGTAATCAAATCCAGGCCCCATGTTCACAAAGAAAAGATCAGGATCAGGATCACATGATCCTGATTTTATTTTCATTGTTTTATAAAACTAAAACTGATTGTATTATGCTAGAATTAAATGGTACATATTCCAAATATAAAAAATTGCTTATTTTGCAAAGAAACAAACCTTTTCTGAGATAAAATCAACAAATAACAAAACAAATACAAAAATAATCAGATGAAAATGAGGATCAATTTTAGGATCAAGATCAAAATTTGGATCAACTGTAAATGCCCATATCTTGTAAAAATAACAATAAATTTATTCTAAAATTTCATAAAAACATGCTATTTCAAGTCCAGTTTTTTATAGTTAACACTGAATATTTAATCTATGAGGATAAATAATGGAGAATATTTGAGTTTTTAAATTTGATTCCTGATCTTGATCCTGATCCTTAAATCTTTGTGAACATGGGGCCAGAACTTTCAAGCTAGAACATCTATTTTAAAAGTTTCTTCATAATTCAATCAATTCTAGCATAGACATTTACTGCATCATTATTATTTGTGGGGCAATAATTTTTTTGGTTTTCGTGGATAGGTCAATCCATGAAGTTAAGATCCAACAAAATTACATTTCATCTGCTGTAAGATTATTTTGAATCACTTTATTTACATTTTAACTTTTTGAATAATGGTCCATGAATTTAAGAATCCATAAAAATATTCTTTGTGAGAAAACCTAAAAATTTCATGCCCACAAAATTAAGTCAATTCCCAGTATTTGTTATGTTTGCACTCTCCCTATCTTAAAATAAATTTGTAAGAATAGAAGATAGTCATTTTGAAATACATTTCAATTGTAAAGGGTTGAAGTTTAGGAAAAATCTCTATTCACAGCTAGTTGATTATATATTGAAACATCAACATTTATTTCATTAAAAACATTTTCTATGGCATACACCTAGGGAAAAATATCTATATGCAAGTTTTTATTTCACATTAACTTCAATTATAAAAGACAACTTACCCAATTTTACTAAGTTTGGCAACTTCAAGTGTTTCTTTTACAAGGTGCGTAGGCATAACAAACTCTAATGTGGCCTTTGAAAAAAAAATAGAATCAAAATAATGAAAACAGAAATGGGCATTGTAAATGGTTACAACACTATGTACAAGCGCAACAACACTGTTGCAAAGTTCGTAGCAGTCCTTCAATATCATTCTTGGCAAATGCTTCTAGAAAAATGTCATTGTTGACCTCCAGGTACTGGTATTAAGTGTTGCGTTGCAATTTTATTCTAAGCAAAAACTCACATCTTATTATTTTCTCATTGACAAATCAGTATAGTATCATGAACCTATAATGTGATAAATAATAATCTTTTTTTTTATTTGATTTCAAGACACACATTCACTATTCAGCTCATATGACAACTTTCCGACTTTAATGGACAAGAAAGATCTCTAATGACTCATTTTGCATTTCTTCAGGCACTCAATTGAGAACTTCTGTTCTTCAAGATAGCTTGATAGCTTCCTGACATAAAAACTCTATACACCAAGTTGTATTTAAACTGTCAGCATTGAGAAATAAGCTACTAGATTCACTTTTCATTAACATGAATACAAATCTATTTAAATCTATGGAGATTTTGCCAAGAATATAGAGATTTTGCCAAGAATATAAAGGCCTTTATGATGGATATAGAACCATGATGTTCTTTGTCATAGATATGAAATTATAAAGGTCTTTGTCATAGAAATAAAACTATGACGGTCTTAGTCATGGTTATAAAACTATTGAGACCTTTGTCATGGATATAAAACTATGAAAATCTTTGTCATGGATATAAAAGTTTGAAGACCTTTGTCATAGATATGAATCTATACAGTCCTTTGTCATGGATATAGAACCATTCAGATCTTTGTCATGAATATAAAACTATGGAGATATTGTTAGTATATGAAGCTATGGATATCTTTGCCATGTATATGATACTATGAATATCTATGGATATAAATCTATGAAGATCTTTGTCATGGATATAAATCTATGAAGATCTTTGTCATGGATATAAAACTATGAAAATCTTTGTCATGGAAATAAAACTATGAGGATCTTTGTCATGGATATAAAACCATGAAGATCTATGTCATGAATATAAAACAATGAAGATCACTGCAATGGATATAGTTCAAGAAGCATGTTGTGCTACTATAACCTACCACAAGAAGTAACAGTAACATGTTACATCTCTCCCTGTCCCCAGATCTCGCATCCAGTATATCTTCTATAAATGTCTTTCTGTATTTTAATACTGAAAACTCCCTGAAATAAGAATATTTCAAATAAATGTTAGTAATAATCTATGGAAAATCTGTTGATATAAAACATCTGTTGATATAAAACAAAGTATCATCTAGTCAGTATCATTTATTTCAGTAAATTTCAATGACAGCCACAGTAATGAAAGGATTTTGCCACAAGTCTAGTAAAGTAAAACATTATTGCAAGCTTTACCAGGGGAAAGGGGAAAAAGTGTGACCTGGGTCTCTGAAAATTGTGTTAGCCACAGACTGCACCTTCAAATGTAGCATTTTTTTAAGTTTACTCAGCCAGATTTATAAAATGAACTTGCCTATAATTTTAATGCTGGAAGCAAATGTAAATTATTATCAATTTGAGTATTTATAATTAAGTGTAACTCTTTACCTTTTTGCATATTTTTTTTCTAGCAAAAGGTCACATTGAGCATTATACGAGAGGTATTTCAGACGTCTTCTATCCATTTCTGAAACAAAAATACAAGAATCATAAGACTAGCTGATATAAATACCAATCATTATTACCTATTCTGGTTAATACAGTAGTTCATCGTATTTTGAATAGGATTTTTAAGGTTATTCTTTTGAAACCTCATTCATTCATGTTATTACTAGTACACATATGTAAAAAATTGAATGCATTCTGATATAAAATTAGGAATACATGTATCTGACAATATTCCCCATGATTTGACCTAGTATTCAAACCTTGGGGTCAATAATCATGTTTTTTTCTGGAATATCAATGTAGCAAACAACTTCATTAAAGAATATGTTAAACTTTTGTCTTCTTCTGTGTAAATGTTAAATACAAAAGAAAAACACAAGTATATTTCACCTTCAGCACTTTTGGCTCTTGGAAAGTTTGACAGAGGAGACCCTGTACTATACAATGTATAATTTATTGAAGAAAATTTTTTTCCTTACCAATATTGCTTGGTCCATTGGCTGGAAATCTGATCATTACATGTGTTGCCTGAAGACATAAAGGTAATAAAATATATCATACAAAAGAGACTTGTAATTCTAAAATTTCCCAATGGGTTTTTGAAAAATAAGTCTAAACATTTAATGATCTTAAAGGAACTCCACTGAGGTCAAAAAGCCTAAAATATAAAATTTGAATTTCTTACATAGAGCAGCTGGGGCACTTAAAACAGAAAGATATATATGCTAAAGATAACTAGAACTATCGCTGAATGCGATTCATACCCCCACCAATGTCCTTGACAGAAGACGACTTGGAAAGGTGGTTAAGGAAATAACTTAAGTCGCACAAATACATAAAAAGAAATTATCTCTGTTGAAAAAAAGACTTATTGTACAGGTAATAGTATAAATATCTATTATCAAATCATGTTCGAAACAGTTACAAATAACCTTACATTTTCCCAATATACTAAACTTTTTGTAAGTCAATTTTTGACCTTCAAGTGTGGCCTTGACCTTAACTGGCACAAGGGTAAGATGGGTTCTGCACATCGCCCAGTTGGGGTGTACATTTGAGTAAAGTTTTAAGAAAATCCTTCCATTAGTATAGAATTTATAGAGCGGACACAACATATATTCTAGTATTGATTGTATGTAAATTTAAAGACTTAAAAAGGGGCATAACTTTGTCAAAATGCAATACTGAGTTATGAAACTTGACCTGCATATCGTAATTGTGACACCTCATATATCTTTTAAGTTTCAAGCAAATACCTGTGCTAGTTTCAGAAATATTCAAGAACATGTTAAAATCTAAGAACATTTTCTAAGTCAATTTTTGACCTTGACTTTTAGACTGCACAAAGGTGACATGGATTCTGCACATAACCTTGTTTAGGTGAACATTTGAGTAAAGTTTGAATAAAATTCTTCCATTAGTATAGGATTTATAGAGCGGACACGACATATTGTCTAATATGTGATTGTATGTAAATTTGAAGATTAAAAGGGGCATAACTTTGTTTAAATGCAATACAGAGTTATGAAACTTGACCAGCATATCTTAATTGTGACACTTCATATACATTTTAAGTTTCAAGCAGATACCTTTCCTAGATTCAGAAATATCAAGATATATGTTAAAATTTAAGATCATTTTCTAAGTCAATTTTTACCTTCAAGTGTGACCTTGACCTTAAGCCGGCAAAAGGGCAACATGGGTTCTTCACATCCCCTTGTTGAGGTGAACATTTTAGCCAAGTTTGAAGAAAATCTCTCAATTAGTGTAGGACTTACAGAGCGGACGCGACATACTGCGCAATATTTGATTGTTTGATATTTGACCTTCAATTGTGACCTTGACCTTAAGCCGGCAAAGGGTGACATGGGTTCTGCACATCCCCTTGTTGAGGTGAACATTTGAGCCAAGTTTGAAGACAATCTCTCAATAAGTGTAGGACTTACAGAGCGGACACGACATACTGCGTAATATTTGATTGTTTGATATTTGACCTTCAATTGTGACCTTGACCTCAAGATGACACATGGGCAACATGGGTTCTGCACATCCCCTTGATGAAGTGAACATTTGAACCAAGTTTGAAGAAAATCTTTCAATAAGTGTAGGACTTACAGAGCGGACACGACATATTGTGTAATATTTGATTGTTTGATTTGACCTTCAATTGTGACCTTGACCTTAAGATGACACATGGGCAACATAAGTTCTGCACATCCCCTTGTTGAGGTGAACATTTGAACCAAGTTTGAAGAAAATGTTTCAATTATTGTAGGACTTACAGAGCGGACACGACATACTGTCTTATATATGATTGTGTTTGATATTTGACCTTCAATTGTGACCTTGACCTTGAGCTGACACATGGGCAACATGGGTTCTGCACATCCCCTTGCTGAGGTGAACATTTGAGCCAAGTTTGAAGAAAATCCTTCAAGTGGTATAGGAGTTATAGAGCGGACACGAAAATGGAGACGGACGGACCGACCGACCGACCGACTGACCGACCGACCGACCGACCGACCGACGCGACAAAGCGAATCCATTATAGCCCCCCCCCCCCACATTTTGTGGTGGGGGTATAATTATGAAATATACTCTAAAATTAAAATGAAAATCATATTTTTGTGCTATTCTAAGCCAAATATAACTAAAAAGAGCTTTTAAATTTTGGGTTAGAATAATTATTCTGGAAAAATGGGGTGAGCTAATGATCTGAAATTTTGCAGACAAGTTATGGGTCTAGACCTACATCAAATGGAACATTAATCTTGAAAAACACATTTCTAATCACATCATGTCAAAAAACCTCAGGGGAGTCCTTTTAATGTAACATCATGCTAGTTAAGTTACAGATATATCTACACAAACAAAAGTACAGTTGACTCTCAATAAATCAAAATCGCTTTACTCAAAATTCCGCCTTAGTCAAATAATTTCTAAAGTCCCGTCAAATTTTCTTCTTTATCTTTGTATTTTAACTCCGCTTAGGTCAAATTTTGACTTGCCGAGACTCCTGTTTAGTCGAAAAGAAAAATTTGGTCCCTCAATTAAAGTCAAACATATTTACATCTCAATAAGTCGAAGTGTGAAAACAACCCTCTGATCAAAGGTCGGCAACATCAAGGTGAGATGTTGTCACTCATGATTTACACGTTTCATAGTAATTTTTAATTGCCGGTCATCATGTATTATTAACACGTCGTAAAAGTGGCTTTAATCCGTTTCAGGACTTAATTGGTTTTAACAGTTAACTAAATTAAAATTTAATTACATTTCTTAAAGAAAGTTGACTCATGCCAGTCTGACGGGTGTTAGTCAAATAACAGCCTAGGTATTGATGTGTGTTATCAACGTAAAGGACATTTGTTTAATTAATTATCTGTCATATTTGTACTTCCGGTTCAGGATAGTTGCTAATTTCGTTTTCGTCCGATGATGAATTAAATCAAATGTAATTGTGTGTTTCTGTTTCACTATTAATATACATGTATTAAATTTTGAATGATATATTTTTGTTCATTAATAATTTGCAGTTGTGAGTGATTTACCGTCATTTCAATGGTTGAATATTGCAGCATTGCCGCTAACAACAATAACAAACCTACTCCTTTGCACATTCAATCAGGCACAAGTATATACATGTAATGGTGGTAGTTCCACGTAACTCGAATTCCGTTTCTCTCGAAGTTAAATGCCCAGTCCCTTGGATTTCGAGTTACCGAGAGTCAACTGTATATCTACTACATTCTAGCCCTAATATACTTTTAACTTTTAAGACAAAAGGGACAATGCCAATATGTTTCATGACCTCAATAAGTTTCAAAAACTTTAAACAACATATTATATTCATACTAACTTCTATGGATAAAATAGTATTTAGACAAATGTGTACAGTAAATAAGATTTACATAACATGTTTAAAGCAATTCTGTGCCTTGCCAAAAAAATAATACAGCAAAAACAAGGTAATTAAAAACCTTTTAAAAAACAGTTTTCCTTATGTACATAGCAAACAATAATTGTTGCACTTACTTACTTCTTTAATTGTAGGCAGGAAATAACACCAAAATAAAAAGAGAATAATTAAACATGTCCATGTTAAACCTAACTATTAATGGTCCATTTTCAAAACCATTTCATAACCATTTTGTTATCAAATATAGATTTTAATTGATTTTAAAGTACCGTACCTTTTCTCCATACACCCCATTTACTTCTATCTTCTTTAGATTTGATGGCACAAACCATTCTTTTGATAATTTCCGTCTCTAAAACATAATTTAAACAAACAACCATAAGAAAATTTTTTACTTTGTACACTAAATTTAGAAATAGAATATTCAAAAATTAAAGCTACATGCCACCTGATGGGTAAACAAATTTTAAATCAAGAGTGCCGATTTGACACAAAATACACTTTTCAAAAATGCTCAGATTCTTAATTGTGAAAATTTGCATTAAAAATCCAACAATTTATCATGACCTGAATAGACCAATACTCATATTTTCATTTTCTTATCCGATTGGTGACCTCTGCATGTAACCTTGACCTTGGCAAAATGGACTTAAAATTTGTGCAAAAGCACTATGCCTCACACAATATTGTACATTCTGCAAAATCATTTAACAATCCCTCTATGTATGTAGAAGTTTCACTCTGAACAAGCATTTTCTAAAATATGCATTTTCCTCTGACCTCAAAGTGTGACCTTGACCTATTTTTAAGAATTCACAAGTATCAGAATGATTCTTGAGTTGTACGTTTTATACTAATATGAATAACATGTTAAGATGATTTTTATTCTTAGTCAAAGTCTCTATAAAACAAATGACCCTTACTGTTAACCATATTGTTAATGTAGTTCTAAATGTTAAATTTCAAAATAGGGAACAAATAGGAAACAAAACTTACAATGGGATGCTCTGTTAATGCTGAGTCAGAAAAAAAATGTTTCACCTGTAACCTTTCTGCAGCTGTAATATATAACATAAATATCACAAGATTATATATCATATATCAGTATATAACAACAGTAATAACAATTGATATATTTCCCAAGTTGACAATACAATATTCTTTAGATGATAACAGTCAATTAAGCTCATTAATACTTACTCATTCAAATTTGTATTATGAACTTGACCTGCTTTGAAAAAGGAAAAGACTAATAATATCTGTCATATTTTGCGGTTCGGATCGGAATATCAGTCCCAAGGTGATCCGCCCATTGGGCGGTAACGAGGCTTGCCGAGTTACCGCCCATGGGCGGGTGACCGAGGGACGGATATTCCGATCCGAACCGCAAACATATGTCAGATATTTTTTCTTGCATATTCTACCATATTCCATTATATTTTAAATTCTTTATCTTTATTTTCAATGAAAATTTATATCATTACAACCGTAACTACTTTCATTCAACAGCGTATGAATTACAAAATCATTCATAACGGTAAAATGACGTCATCTTTATCGTGCCATTGTACAGCACGCGACTCATCTGGAACACCCCATGCCAGATTAAATTTCCGGCATGGGAAAAACTAACGGAAACGCCAGTCTGATATGCAAGAACGTTGTTATACTAAGGTGTTTCTGCCAAAAATTTACATTTTCAGACAGTTAAAAAGAATTTGACAGATTATATGGCCCTTTATAAACAGTTGATTGCATATATACCTCAGCCACTAGGTAAGTTATATCGTAACATCCATTTTACAACAGTCATAATTATAACCTATGAATAATCTTTACAATGAATTTATAATTCAGCAAACTTCCTTTATTTGTGCAAAAAATGAAATTACTTAGGCGTGTATATAGTTTATATAAGCATCCAGATTATCCAATGAAAAGTGACATTACAAAAATGCAGTTAACCTAATAAAAAGTTTTCTTTAAACTTGTATTAATTTTAACAAATATCCAAAGTACCTTTCATCTTCTGAAAATTATTCAGTTGCAAAAGTGATTAACCTAAAAGTCTTAGATTACTATTATAATCTATAGTCTTAGATTAATGTTATAATCTATGGTCTAAGATAAACATTATACTCTATGGTCTTAGATAAATGTTATAATCTATGGTCTTATATTAACATTATACTCTATGGTTTTAGATAAATGTTATAATCTATGGTCTTAGATAAATGTTACAATCTATGGTCTTAGATAAACATTACAATCTATGGTCTTAAATAAATATTACAATTTATGGTCTTAGATAAATGTTACAATCTATGATCTTAGATAAACGTCTTAGATAAACGTTACAATCTATGGTATTAGATAAACGTTATAATCTATGGTCTTAGACAGATAATCCTATAGGAGAATTGGTCTTATTTCTTAAATAAAACAGTTTGACCAATTTCATAGAAAAACTTAATAAAGTCTTACTGCTGGAAATACGACAACACAAGCAATATTCTAAATGGACTATAGAATATACCATGCATAGCGGTAGGTTACTTACATGTTATGATTCTCCCATCTAACATCCATACATTTGGTAAACAATCTATCACATGTATACGATCTGAAAAATCACAAAATTACATTCAACATAATGAACTCTATGTTGGAGTGAAATTATCCGCATGATCTTTAGGGGAGTGGGAAATCCTGTATGGCCTGATAAACTGGTTGCTTTTTTAACATTTTACTAACCAAGAATAAGAAAATTGATGAAAAATACATTTTCCTGCTCACTAAATAAATGGGGAGAGCATTTTCCTACTCATTTATCAAGGGAAGTGCATTTTCTTAATGAACCAATAAAGGGACGTTATTGTCAACAAATAGGGTGTTTTAAATTTTAAATGTGGCAATCAAAGCAAAAATATGAACACAGTTTGTAAATTAACCACGTCCATTGCTAGATCATACTGACACTATGTTTACATATATACATACACATAAGAAGCATGAAGTTAACTTACAGTAGGGATCTTTCTCAAGCTGCTTGTTGCCATGGAGACTAAGTTCAAGGATGTGAAGATGTCGCAGTTTACCAATCTGATGCCATGAGAGGTCATTGTTAGCTAGATTCAGAGTTCCAAGAGCAATAAACTTGGACAAGCAATCCAAATCCTTTATCTGAAATACAGAAATAATTTGACAAGAACAAATTTTTGATTAAGGATGTAATGTTACATCATTAAACTGTGAATGAAAGGCTACCAATCTGTTAATGATATGAGGAGTAACCTTAACCTTGCAGCATAGCATTTTCTTACTTACCAATCAAGGGAAGTGGTAAATTTTTAATTTAGTCTTATGCCTTCCTCTGACTTTGGAATTGTTCATTCTTAATTTAAGAAATCTCAATAGTAACTAAAAATAATGTAACATTTAATATGCTAACTGAATTTCTTTTTTGGATTTTTAGAATTGTCTCTCAAAAACTTATTACTTTAGGGATATCAAGATGAAAACTCAGTCAGCCAATGGAGGTGCAAGCTGGCCTGGGCTCATGGTTATTAAACTTATTTTCTGAGTCTTGACTCAAATATCAGGATTTTCATTGGTCAATGTAAATTCTGTGTAAGTTTCTGACTAATCAAACATTTAACTGAGATCTGAGTTTGAGCTTAAAGAATTTCATTTTCTTTATAACCTTTAACCCTGGCTCTACATGGTGGCAAAGACTTATACTTCTTGAGTCTAGCAGAATACGGGTTAAAGTGCACTTAACAAGTGGCATGGGCAATAACTCAGTCATCATGATTTATAAAAGCTGGCAATAGGGGAGTAAAACAAATTACCTGACACCCTTATCATTATTTTAACATATCAATTTTTTTAAAAACAGTTATCATGATTAATTAGACTATGTATTATATAATCAATGCATTTATCACCCTATTCTATGCCCTATAAAAATAGATGATTTAATAGATTAAACATTTGCACTACTTTAGATATCTGTCAGTTTACCTACTGTCAGCCCTATCCATGTTAAATTTGTAAAATGGACTCGCCATGCTTTGAATTTGGAACAGTATATTGTTGAATGAAATGGGTTTTCAATATTAAATGAATCAAACTAAAATTGATTACAGCCAAAAGTACAGTTTGTTCAGGCTGTAAAAGAAGCTTCAGCAATTTTATCATCCCAATTAGGAACCAATCAAAAAAATAATATTAATTTTTTTCCATAAAAAATTTCAATCTAGTGCTAATTAATCCTTTTTCAAGTGTGCTAATTAATGCTAAGTATTGATGGCTATGCTACCATAAAAACAGTAGGGCGTTCCTACCCATGTTCCTACCCATACATGTATATGTGATCTATTAATAGACTACATTTGTATTTGGTTTAATTAAAATACCTCTGGCACTATAAAATTCAACAAAAGATAGTCCAAAAGTCAAAGAAGGAAAAATTAATTTCAGCAATTTTGCAAGATAATGGATTAAATAATGATAAGAAATATCTCAAGTTATCAGGAGTTTCCTTAACGCAGGTTTCCTGAATCTATGTCCCAGGTTTTTGGTCTCAGTACTGCCACTTTTCAAAACAAGTGCATCCCATGGACCCCCAACACTAACCAACCATTTTAGATTTCCATTCCTGAACGGTAATTTGGTAAAACAAAATTTGATTTTCTGTTTTATTTAAGCATTTTCGAGTCAAGAGCTCTACAGTTTATCTCTAAGATTACTGTACTTGAAAAAAGGCCTAGTACCGAAAAAAATGGATTATTCATGATAAAATTTTATACAGACACATGCCTGAAGAAAATCAACATTTAGAAATATATACTGAGACTTTAAGGAAATTGTGAAAATATTTGAATTTCAAGAAATTAGTTACATGTTCTATGTCATTAACGACTGATTTTGCAGTATTAATTACCATAAGTATACAGCACGACTAACAAAGAAAGGGCTATTTTTGTATATTCTGATATATTTTTGGTAATATATTTTTGGTAATATTCTTAGATTTTTAGTGCCATTTGAAATGTGTAAATTACTTTCTTTGTTCACATTGACAATATTTTACTATTTTTATTTCATTTTTTATATCTTCATGAAAATAAGTATGAATATGGAGACTGATATGATGATGCTGCTTTAATTTTCTTTCTGAAATTATGTTTTTATAAGGGACACCTTAAAATTTACAATGAACTCTAATATCCTAGGGAAAATGCAGAGTGATTTTTGTTTACATTTCATGCAATTTCTGAAAAAAAGGGTCTATATAACCAGAAGAATACACAGTTGTATAATAATTTTATGTAAAACTATTTAAATGCACACATCAAAAGAAGTATTTTACATTTTGTCAGGTGCTTAAAATTAAATTTGTCTTGTTATTCGTATAGAGGTTACATTATCTGATAAACCTTCCATTATAAATGGCTGTATAGATTAAATCTTAACACACTAATTTACAATAACAGAATTACTCTAGTTTATTCAAGACCAATATCTTGACAAAACATAAAATAGTATTTTCCTTACAATAAGATTACTGAAATAAGTCAAAAATATGTAAGGAAATATTGTGTTATATTTTTACATGTCACCCTATCTATTGATACTTCATTATTTATGGCGTTTGCCTGTAAACAGATTTTTTGTTATTTGTTTTTGTATGAATAAGGGTGGGAGTTCATGTGTAAAAAGTGTAATAAATAAATGAAAATAAATATTAAATATGATATTCTTATAAGTGATTTTTTTGTAAGATTTAATAGCGATAGCAGTCAGTCAGTTGTAAATATCTATTACAAGTGCCTTTTTCCCATTGAATTAGGAAAAGCGCCTTTCAAAGTGGAAAGAATGCTTCAAGAAATATCTTAATTAAAAATCTATAGTGTATTTTTACAGATTAGTGAAATCACTGAATTTTTCTGCACTGTCCCATTATAGCTAATGTTCTTTTTCGTTTTTGTTTTTTTGGTTGGGTTTTAAGTCACACCAACACAGTTAATAGGTCACATGGCCACTTTCCTGTTGGAGAAAGACGTTCCGTACATCATTTCAGGCACAAATGGGCACCTGAGTAGAACCACTAACGTTCCTTAAGCTCATAGCTGGTTAGCTTTCTCACATGAAACAATCAAAAGTCCCTACAGAGATTTGAACCCACAGCAGTGCGGGTACAGCAAATGTATGACAAAGAAAATTAAGAAATATAAAAAATGCATAAATAAAGCATAAATTTTAAATGCTTCATTCTCCTATCACACAGGTATAGTGATCAAGTGCATTATTACATGATATATGCACAGAATAAAAAACAAATGCTTACACGTCCTATTACTTCATATATGACGTCAATAAACCAAATGATGTCAGAAAAATTACTTCTACGCTCTATGTAGTTCAACATATTTTTATCAATTCATTTTATTAGCATGGTAGAATGGAAATAGTTATGAATTTTTCTTGCACTTTGGTATAATATTGCACGATTTACTGTTCAAATGCTTTGTAATTAACAGGATCTGTTCGTCTTTAACAGAATATGGATGTACATATATTCTGGTATAATAGTAGTAACAGTGCCTGCCTCTCAACTTTAGGATAACAAATTTGGCTATAATAAGGTCTCAACCCTGTTTTGTTTTTTATAGCCCAAAAAGCAGTCTTGAAAAGGGATTACTGGTATACATGTATATGTTAATGTATATCATCAGCTTGGTGCAGTAACTCTTTATATAATTTAATAGTTAACCTGTTACTGCACTAATGTAACAATATGTGTTTTATAAACCAGTAAAACATCATTTCAAAAGATTTTTTTTCCTTCTATTATAAAATCAACAAAAGTAAATTTAAATTTCTTTTCTATCTCAACATTTTTTTTCCATATACCTAATCAACGTAACAATTTTAGCAAACACAATTAAAACGTTGCCTGTTTAATTCTGAAGTGTATACAAAGTTCATTTTAATCAGCGTTAAGCATATTCCGCAGACTTAAACAAACATTTTCAGACCTATGACTACCCTTATGTTAACCCTTATTTATTTAAACAAACATAATAAGCATGGATTTAGTGAAAGGCATTGTTTGTTTTTCTAGACTATACAAACACGCTTTTGGTGACAAAATTTGGCATAAGACTGAAGCTTACTGTTTATATATCAGCGGCAAAAAAATGATTGACATCTAGGAATAACAGCTAAATCTTTTAATAATGTATGAATTTGTTTTACAACTGATAATCCCTTAGTAAGTCTTTGTATTGAATTTATTTAAGAAAGGAAAAGTCTTGTGAACAGTAAGGCTAAGTTTATAAAATACTTTCTGATAATTTATCATTTTAAATCATGGGTTAAAAAATTTATTGATTGTTTAAAATGTGTATAATTTTTAGCTTGTATGATTTTATTTTGTTATATAGAGGTCTACCTTTAAATTTCATGTCATCCAATTACGAATGAAAAAAGGTGAATAATTCCATTTACTACATGTAATAGTATAAAACAGTATAAAACTACTAATGTACTGTTAAAACAAAGATTTGCAAGAATTTTTTTAAGAAATAATTATTTCTGCCATTTTTAGACTGTAAGTCATATATAATATACAAGATAATTAAGAGTGATTAGTTTAGCCTTGGTGCATACACCAAATGTCACTATACAAGATTGACATGTCCGATTAAACAAAGATCACGCATTATCAATTATACAAAAGCAAAGGAATTTTATTTATTATATTTTGTACAGTGTCTTCAAACTTCCACATTTTCCATGTTGAATGCTTTTTTTACCAAAGCACAGAAAGCAGCAGAAAATTTCCAAAATTATCACATGTTTATAATGTCTCTAACTTTTAACAACCTGTATGAAATTTTTGCATGGAATCTGGGCGGAAATGGGACAGAATTGGCATGGAATCAATGATAATAAAAAGAACAACTTTACAAACTAGTAAGCAAATATTTACCTGATTATTGCTGAGATCTAACTTCCAGAGATTTCTGTTCTGTTCAAGGTTTGACACCTCAAGGATTGAGTTACCCCTTAAATTTAATGCTTGTAACTTTGGACAACAATTAAGCCTCTCTATGGACACTGAAATTTTAACAAGTTACAGTGATAAAATTCAAAAAATTAATATTTATATGAAAGTCACATCAAAACTTACATTAACATTTTAGTAGAACTATATTTACTGGTACATGTATTTGTCAAATAATATACTTCCTTGAAAGTTGAATCCAAACAGAAATCAAAACCAAAGCAATGAATGGCTACGGACTCAGATTGGATTCTGACGGAGATTACAAATGAAGTATGGCCGTGTAAGAAATATGAGTGAGAAAAAGAAATGAATTAGTAAAAAGTTAACTAAACAACACAACATTAATGAAACAAGGACTGTCCTTGAAACAGTATGCTATTCTCTAGAATAAGAGCAAGTTTTTTAACAAGAGCTGTGTACAGGCCAGTGTTATTGACAATACACAGTGCTTGACAAAGTCAATAATGTAAAAGGCAATAAGGTAAATGTCTAGAAATAGGGATGATGGTTATCAATAAGTATTTCAGATTTGAAAGCAGAATTCTCAAATGGTACAATGTATACTGACAGAGTTTATGTGCTCAAGTCTACAAATGTAAGCAATGGCCATAAACAAGTATTGTCAGTTCTTAAGTAAATACCTCAACATGTTTTATGAAAAAATGGGTGGTGCAAAATTCAAGGTGTGATGCTGACTTTACCACAGAAAATTGATGCCCAGATTAAATGCTGGACATGCGCTGAATACAAAAGCCCTTTTTTCATTGAATATTTTTTTTTCAAATCATGGCTATATGACCCCTTCCAATATAAAACTAAGTAAAGAAGAGATAGAAAGAGGTAAACAAGATGTAAAGAAAAATGAGTAATTCTTCCTGAAGCAAAGTGAACATGCTTTGGAAAAACATTTGTGTTCAACAACTTTCAACATTTCAATCACATTCTAAAAATGTTGCTTTTGTGAGAAAACTTGTAACATGATAATTTTCTGTCTAAACTGCCTTGTAATTATATCAGAATTTATTAGGATGAAAAGATTATTAATTCAGTAATAAAGTTTGGTAATAAAAGCTTTCTCATAACTTAAAAAGGCTTTGTATAATTCAATAGAAAAAGAGGTTGTGCAAATTTAAATGAACCACAAATGCAGCGTATAATCAATAATATGCAATTGTGAAATACTTTAATAATTGATCATTCTTTTACTTGTTAAATCATCATACTGAGTAAATTGTGTAATAATTTCAACTTCCTTTCCATCAAAGCTATTACTTCAAAGGCCTTTTCATTTTACTATAATTTGCATAGTTTGCACCTGAAACCCTTAATCTTGTTTCTATACCATACCATAAATTAAATGAGATATGAAATTTGGCACAACATTAACATCTGTCAATCATTTTGCATAATTTACTGCATTCTACAAACAAAAGGTATGCACCTGCAAAATGTAACATGTATTGCTTTTTACAATATTTTTTTCATCTAAAATAAATGCATGCACATAAAATAGACTCTCCTTTTCACATGCTCAAAAATGACACATTTTCCTCAACAACTAAATGTAGGAAATCTAATAAAACTTTAATAAAAAGCATCTTCAGATCTAATAAACAAGTTCTAAAGAAGGAATTTTGCCTTGCAGTATTTATCACCATATTTCTACTGCGTGACTAAAGCAGTAAAGGCTATTTCAACCACTTTTTGGTAAGTTATGTTGATTATAAGTGCCATTTGCAATGTGTAAATTTCTTTCTTTGTTCACTTTACAATATTTTAATCTTAAATACATTTTCAAAATTGTCATGAAATTTAGTATGAATCTGGTAGCCTGCTGCTTTAAAGAAGTATACAAATATATTTCTTTGATGCAGGTACATGATTGTATCTAAAAAGTATTCTTTTAAAAATTTAAATAACATTTTTTGCAGTAGACAAATAGCTTAATAAACTTTAAAACGAAAATAACCTTCACCTTTCTTAAAAAAAAAAGGTTCAACGAACAGTCTATCATTAGTTTGGGGAAGATTTTAATGTGCCCATGATGATGTAATTTCATGGTTAATAAGTTGTAAATTCATATAATAAAATAGTTGCGCATGAAATGACACCCATTTCCATGAAAAATTAACATTTTAAGGTAAACCATTTAAAATATGGTACAATATGCAAGAAATGTATCTAACATGTATTTGCTATTCTCCCTGTTTGGTGAAATGTCCCTAGGGACCAATATTCTGATCTGAACTGCGCAACATGACTGATATTTTCAATAAAAAAACATAAACTCATTCTAGTTTTTAAATATATTTGTTTCTTAGTTTCCCCCATTGGTGTAGTAAAGAATTTGGTCAGACTAGACATATTTGAAGGCTGGGTTTATAATGGCAAACATTCCGAAAAGTACATGTACATTGTACGTAATACAACAATATCTTGAACACCTTTGATATTCTCAAGAGTTTGCCTTTGATATTCTCAAGACATGTTTATATCTGACACATTGTTATCAATAACCATTTGTATAATTACATTAAACTTACCTATTCCTAAATTTGACAAATCCAGAAATTCAACAGTCTGCAGTGGGCCAGCAGCCTTAGAACGCAACAACTGAAACAGATAAAATAAAACACCAATAACATCCAAACAACTGACTGAGAGATTAATCTCTCTTTTGTGTTACAAAAAAAAACGTTAATTAAGCATGTCAATAGTTTTGACAGGCTTATAGCCGTCTGGTTAGCTCAATAGGTAGAGCATTGGACTGTGAATCTGGCGACCTGGGTTCCATTACAGGACAGCGCTTGTCACTTTCGATGTCATTGAACATGAAATCCTTTTTATGCTTGTCACTTTCGTTGTCATTGATCATGAAATCCTTTTTACACTACAGTCATTCGCATTGTACCTCTGCTGCGGTAAGTAGTAATGATGATTGAAGAAATTGGTTCCTTGCAAAAGTGAGGGCAACTAGTACTGGTAAACTGCTTGACAGCCTGCCCAGTAATGATACAGTGACTGAACTGTGCTTTGGTTTATTCAATGTGGCTTACAGAATACATTTTTTGATCATTTTTACGACACAAAAACAAATAGAAAAGATTTTCGTGACACTGTTGTAAAATTTATGTAAATGTAAACTATCAGTAGGTGGGGCATTTTGCAAGAATTAAAAAGATTTGTAAATAGATCGATACAATGAATAGCACAATACAATGGGGTTTCACTATACACATGTAGATTTGTCAGGTTTCCATATGAACGAGGCTTTGATTGGCTTATGGTAGTAAATAGCTGTCCGGAAATTAAAAACTGAATATGGGTGTTTTCAACTCTTCACATCACTGTCCAATAATTTCCTTGGAAAACACTTTTTGGTAAAGTACCGGCTTTTAAATGGTATTGTTCTGGTTTTTAGCAATCATATTAATATCTAGTCAAAGTATCATTTTATAAGCCTACCCACTATTGTCCTGACACCAGGAGTTTGGATTCTATCAATAACAAAGAAATGTATTAAAATGTGACTGGCCAATATAAGTATATAATAAATTGAAAAAAACCTCAAAATGTTTATATTTTATACCTACTCCATAGTGCTTTTGAATGTGTGATTCTGAACATGAAAAAGACAAAAATTACTCTGCAATTTAAAAAGCAAATTACTAAAATCATCTATAAACTCATTTTAAAAAATCCAATTGTTTTAAATAAAACGAAATGCTTATCAAAATGTACCCACCTGCTGTGTAATTCTCATTTTATCCAAATATTTGTGTTATACATTTTCTGAGAGAATGTGAAACCGCACAACACCTGTTGTAAACAATATCAATGCGCGTTGATAAAATATAGTTCATATAAACAATATGGTATTCTTTAGTCAACAAAAATTTTTTCCCATGGTTATGTAAAGGAAATTGCTTTAAAATAAAAATAATTTAATTCTTCAATACACAATATACTTTTGTCTTCAGTTAAATATAAATGTATTAATTTTTGGTGGTTAAGATACGGCTGTGACTAAAAAAAGAATTGGAGCACCACACTAAATACCGTATTCCGGTATATACCGGACAAGGCGCTTGAATGATAAAATGCTAAAATCTTGTCTTTTTACCCAACGGAATGAACTTTAACAGGTCTAATTCATCTTTTCACACCGAATCAAGTACGATAATCAAGGAAAACTGTAAAAATCGGCGAAAAAAACGATATTTGTCTATTTTGTGATCATGATTTCTGCAAGCGTCTAGAGGTACTGCTCCAATCCTGTATTGAGCTAAATCCTTAAGATACTGGTACCCGAAGTGGTTCCAGTTAGTCTTCTTACTAAACACTCGCAAGATTTGAATTTACAAACAAGAGCACCACAAAGGCTGGGCAATATACGCCCAAATGTAAATTTGTTTGAGTAATCAAAATAATTTTTTTAAAAAGGGTAGAGACCCACCAAGAAATTTTTCTGAATAATATTTTATTTTAATTGGCCTTATGATTCTATAAGACCTCCAAGAAGAAGGTTTTTTTTCAACGTCATAAAATGTTTATATAGCGTTTTTTTGTAGTAGGCAATGCTATATGTCAAATATGAAAGCATAGTATTTATACATTCGTAAAAATGTGTATATTCCTATTCCTTAGTCTATAAAAAGCATATGTCAAGGCCGTCGTCGATGGTCCGGCCGGTCCGGCCTTGGCCGGACCAATATTTTGGCCAAAAATGAGTAAAAAAAAACATAAAAAAAAAAAAAAAAAAAAAAAAAACACGCATCGCTGAATAGCAATTTGACACTTAACTGGCCCCTTATGCAATACGCGGTAATATACAAACATGACGCGAAGAAACAACTGGACACTTTTTATTGACCAGATATATGTAGGGGTCCTACGAAGTTAAGTATGAAGATAATTGACATCGACGTGGCTTCGAACAGTTCACCGTATACACAGGGGGAAGACGCTGTGATCTGACATTAGCCCGGCCCCTCCCCCGAAGGCCCTGCTACAACCCATATAAATATCAATGAAAGTTGATTTGCACAATAAAAATTCATAAAAACAATATTCTGACACGTTTCGACGATTTTCATTATACCCCTTTACTATAATAACTTGTTAGAATATTGTTTTTATGAATTTTTATTGTGCAAATCAACTTCCATTGATAGTCTTTATGGGTTGTAGCAGGGCCTTCGGGGGGGAGGGGGCCCGGGATAATATCAGATCACAGCGTCTTCCCCCTGTGACCGTATATACATGTATATATATGTGCATTATGAATATCTTGAACTAGTATGCCTGAAGTCTCCGAAAACTTGATAATATTTTATTGATTGTACACGGCAACCGTTCAAAAGTCATATTTTTATCACATATCCACGCACGTTTTTGCGACTCCTTGAAAATGGTATTGCACGGCCGTGCATGCATATATTTTGACGTCGTTTGCGTTATACGCGACTAAATGTTGGCGTTTTTCTATGGGCGTCAATGAAAAATTGTTCTTTTTCGCTTCAAAAGGTACTTATTTTTGGTTTGTAATAAACAGAATATTGAATTCGTGTAAGTTCATTACTGAATTTATTGAACTCGTTGAATAAAATATTATACTCGCCAGAGGCTCGCATAATATTTTTTCATTCAACTCCTAAGATAAATTCAGTAATAAACTCATTCAATTACTCTATTACATAATTACAGTGAAGGATGTGTTCCGGCCTAAGTATTTTGAAGATGGCCAGTTTTAAAGAAAGATTTGACCAATCGAGATATCGCGTACTTCAGAACATGGAGGATTTATTTATTTAGGCCGCACAACCTTTGAAGACCATTCACTAGAAAACTTGGTTTTGTTTGTGATTTATATGGTAACGATATTAACCGAGACATCTTAGAGGTGAAGCTTCAGTTGTTACGTTTACATTTTGACAAATCAGAAAATAGTACTGTTACCTGACGCTTTGAAATTTGTGTCAAAACAATCGGTGCTAGAACTGAGGTCGTTGTGTTTTTAAATATTTTGTTAGTAATGCCTGCTACTAATGCTACCAGTGAAAGGACATTCACGGAGCTCAGACGAATAAATGTGAAAATACACAGGGAGATAATAAGAACGGCGAGTGCATTGTTGTAGAATAATGCACGCTTCGGGCCTTCTTTGTTTATATAGAAACAATTCCGATAGTGTTAGAATGTTTATTTTTCATTCGCCAAATACCAATTACATGTATTCATATTTTATGTTCACCTGCCCGTCCGTTATGCAAACCTTAAATTTCACCCTTAAAACTTACGACGCACTTAAATCTGTAAAAAAATCGTTGACAATTTACTTTAACATGTTCTAGCGACAGGCTGTAAAATGTGCCAAATATACGGGAAAACGTTCCTGAGAGCATCCTAGAATAAAAAAATTCCGGGGGAGCATGCCCCCGTACCCCCCTAGATTCTGCCTAAAATCTACCAAATTGGCCGCACCAATCACAAAATCGTGACGACGGGCCTGTATGTATGACTCCCGGCTGAGGACCAATTCTGACCTAAAGATCATGATTACTTGACTTTTGTAGAAATCTACAAACTGATCCAATGTAGACCGGCCTACATGCAAATATCTAACCTATGTGCTTTGTAGTTTCACGCAATTTATTTAAGACTTAAATGTTTTCCTATATAAGTTTATATAAATCAAGTGAACCTGGCATGGAAAAATATTGACCCCAGGGGTTTGATTAATATCAGTTTTGCAGAGGTTCTGTTATGCTAAACATCATAGCTCTTGTCATAGAAGATTAGATGTATATCAAGTAAGTGTCCCAGGGACGGGGCCAATATTGACCCAAGGGGAATAATTAATACCCGTTTTGTAGAGTCCAACAAGGCAAGGCTACATGTCAAATATCTAAGCTCTAGGTATTGTAGTTTCACCAAAATAAGACTTTAAAAGTCTATAAAAAGTTATCCAATTGGCGGGGCCAATTGCCCTAACCTGTGTTCTGCATATCGTCTTATTACAAGTAATATTTCTGCCCCCAAAAGTTTAAATTCTTTCTATTGGTTCAAAAGATACAGAGCGGACAGAAAATTTTGAAAATGACACAAAATAACTATTGAACTTGGCCGGAGGAAGGTCAAACCTGCGCTCTGTACATCGTCTCATTATGGTTAAACTTTCTGCCAAGAAGTTACAATTTCCTTTCACCGGTTCAAAAGATAGAGACCGGACACGAAAACGGAAGGACGGATGGATAGGCCACCAGGTGCATAACATTATACGCCGATTTTTATTTCGGGCCTATAAAAAGATATTAACAAGTTTTAAACAAAGTCTGGAAAGGGGAGACCACTTTAGAGCACGAAAAACAAAAAATAAATATTGGAAAATCGCAGACTCGTTTATTTTGAGTTTGTTTACGACTTGTAAACAAAGTCTGGAAAGGGTAGATCACTTTAGAGCAATAAAAACAAAACAAAAATATTGTAAAATCGCAGACTCGTTAATATTTAGTTTGTTTACTAGTGATATTGGGAGTGCAACACATGTTCACGCCTCTAGCACCAACTTGGGTGATAATTAATCCTCAACACAATGTATTTGAATCAATGATTCCAAAGGACCATAAAAATATAATACCTAGCACTGAGATGAAATGTGCCACGTATATCCTTGATACAAGATTGAACACAAAGAAAGTTATGCCGTTTATGAGTTTTTTAAGGATTCTGCATTTTCTATTTTAAGTAGCCCAAAACGCACCTACTTGAAATATCCTCGATGAATTAACCTTTTACCTCATACTCGTATAGACGTGTTTTGACGACTTTTCAGCCCGTCCCCTTTTTGAGGCCCAAAATAGTGAAAAAAATGCCCCATTTAGAACCCAGACACTGTTGTTCGTTTGAGAAATATTGTTAAAAATGTGACCACCTTTTCGGCACCGCCCCCATCAATGGTGTCAGAGGGGGAACGTGCTCCCTTCTGTGTGGGGGGTTTAAAAGGAACAGTAGCCCCCCTCATCGCCAATTTTTTTTGGACTTATCAGAAGCTAACAATAGCCCGGTTTGAGCCGGGTGATGCTCCCCGAATAGGTTTTGGATACAGGAAAGTACACCTCTTGTAGTTTCAGAGTTATGTCCCTGGGAAAAAGTTCAGAGTGCAATAATTCCAAAATAAGGCAAGGCAGAGTTACTGTTCTTTGCACGGCACTTTTAATCAATGCGATCTATCAACCTACAAAGTTTCTTGTTGATACCTCTTATGGTTTCCGAGTTATGTCCCGGACAAAGTTCAAAATGTAAAAATGAACAAAGGGCAATAACTACAAAATTTGGCAAGGCGGAGTTCAAATCCTTAAGCACTGCACATCTACCGATTGAGATCCATCTACCTACAAAGTTTCATGTTGATATCCCTTGTAGTTTTAGAGTTATTTCCCGGACAAAATTTTTTTAAAGGGGAGATAATTCAAAAATTGGGCAGAACAGAGTTATGTTTTTTTTTTTTTGTAATGCACTTTAACTCAATGAGATCTATATACCAACAAAGTTTCATGCTGATATCTCTTATAATTTTAGAGTAATGTCCCAGACAGAGTTCAAAAAGTAAAAATAAACAAAGGGCAATAACTCCAAAATTAGGCAAGGCAGAGTTATGGTCTTGTGCACTGCACATCTACCCATTGAGATATATCTACCTACAAAGTTTCATGTTCATATCTCTTATAGTTTAACAGCTATGTCCTGGACATAAAAATGAGGCTTGACAGAGTTATGGTTGTTTTACACTGCACTTTTACTCAAAGAGATCTATCTTCCTACAATGTTTCATCTTGATATCTCTTATAGTTTTAGAGATATGTTCCAGACAAAGTTCAAAGTGTTAAAATTAACAAAGGGCAATAACTCCAAAATTAGGCAAAAAAGAGTTATGGTTCTTGTGCACTGCACATCTACCCATTGAGATCTATTTACCTACAAAGTTTCATGTTGATATCTCTTATAGTTTTAGAGTTATGTCCCGGACAAGATTTTTCTAAAAGGGGAGATAATTCAAAAACCGGGCAAAATAGAGTTATGGTTCTTTGACACTGCACTCCCCCTCAATGCCCTCTACCACTGTATGAAGTTTAAACAAATTATCTCCAAGGGTTTTCAAGTTATGCTCCGGGACAAGACAACGGACGGACAGACGGACAAGGTGGCGACTATATGCTCTCCCTTCGGGGAGCATGAAAATGGCCTCAGGTCTATCTTAAGGTAACGTTTAACCAACTCTGAAAAGCCTTTTACTCTATCTCAATCCATCATTTTGAAATCAATTTTGATGGGAAAAAAACGTAAAATAGTGATTTTTGGCAAATTAGAGACGTCCCCTGGTGCCAAGTTTGAACTGTATTGAAGCACTTTTTATAGTTTCATAGCAGTTTGAACTTGTAACAGGAAGCTTTTCAATGAAAACAGCCATTTTTCACAATATGCTCATGCAGTGAAAGGTTAAGTGGTCTCATTTACAAGTTCGCCCTACTTATATTATATAAGAGGTATTATAAAGAGATGTGAATGCTTAAAGAAATGCTCGGGGAGCTTATTGATGCAAACATGGCAATTTATTACAAAGAGACATCCTGATATGGTATTTTGCTTTGGTCAATGTTTATGTCAGGACGTGGCCGATAGGTAACAATTACTAATACCGCCCATGAACAGGCTCAATCATTTTGAGCCTGAAATATTTTTATTCTGCCGTTTTAGGTACATGTATTTTGTAGGGATTCCGTTTATCTCTATTTTTTGTAATACGGCATGAATCTTATACACGTTTTGAGCGTCAATACTGGATTATTTAAAACCGAATGATACATACTTTCATATAAGTCATCCTGGTAGCTTCCTCATATGAAATAATCCAAATGTCACTGACTGGATTCTAACCCACAGCGGTGATGGACATGTACCTTGAAGTTGGCGATCTTAAGCACTCGGATATGGAGGTAGCAATTAAGAAGACATAATTTACGGGAACACAGAAAACACCGCATTGGAACAGTCGCCAGCAAAACTACTGGGGATATAAAAACGGTTAAAGGACCATAACAAAAGTAAAAATGTCTTTTATTAAGGCATACTAGCAGTAAGAAAAAACCCGACAAAACAAAGCAGAAGACGAACATTAGGAAAATTCAGTGTCAATGTGTTTAAACTTCACTGAGAGATCTGTTAAGGCGGGATAATATACGGCCGATTCTGAATTATTAAGAATGTTTCAAGGACTAAAATATTATGAAAAAAATTATGATATAATACAAATACAAGTGATGTTTCTCCCCGTTCTATGTGAAAGAAAAAACAAATACATATTAACAAAAGAAATCACTTAACTAATTCCATTTCAAAACTATTGTTCATAAAACAGTTATGTCAAATATGTCTTTTTAAATTCAAATTTGCCTTATAAGGATATAAAACATAGTAAAATTAAAATACATTTATTCATTACATTACTCATTTACACAATAATATGATTGAATGATCCATAAATTCAATCTTCTAAGGGCACAATGGCAAGTTTCAATTACAAAAATAATTTCACAGCTCTAAAATTTGGATGATCTCAAATGTAAAAAAGAAATGTGTCCATAGGACACGGGTGCCCCACACTCCACCGATTTGTCAAATTTATGTCTCTAGGTCAATTTTTTTTTTGGCTACATGTGCCCAAGTTGAAAACTAAAAATCTTTTATTAAGTAAAGGGCAAATACTACAAATACTGCATAAATCCACAAGAAAACCCCAAGATGCACAAGTACACACGCTGAACAACATTCTTATAAACTTTCAGGCCTACAGGTCAAATACTTTTTGAGTTACGTGCAACACAAGTTGAATATTGTAAATTTTTACTAAGTCAAGGGCAATAACTCTAAAAATACTAAAAATATCCACACGAAAATACCCAGGTGCACGACTACACACGTTGAGCAACATTCTTGTAAGGTTTCTTGACCCTAGGTCAAATACTTTTTTTAGTTACGTGCGACAAAGTTGAAAATTGGAAATTTTTACTAATTCAACTCTAGGTCAATTACTTTTTGAGCTACGTGAGACACAAAGAAGAGAACGGACGGACGGATGGACGGACGGACGGACAAGGGTAAATCTAAATGCCCCCCTATAGTGGGGACACAAAAACAACTAGATAAACAAAGAAGGCCGATATTTAATGAATGCTTCCCCAAACACAGGGCCACCTGTAAGGAGTCAATCAGGACACAAAACAGGACAGGGCACACAATCAATAATTTCACAGAAATTTGCATATAAATGGACATACCTATCAATAATTATAATTGTAAAGAAATTCAAACTTGACCTTAGTTTTGACATAATATACATGCATGCCAAATCAAAACCAAATCTTCCAAAAGTGATCTTGTGGAAATGTCCAACAACGCGCCGTTTGGCGCTTTGTCCTGTTGTCGCTAGCGCCAACACGACGCACAAAAGCGTACCAAACCAGTCACCATAATTAAAGGGGGCCTCCGTGGCCGAGTGGTTAAGGTCGCTGACTTGAGATCACAGGTCCCTCACCGCTGTGGTTCGATCCTCACTCGGGTCGCAATCTTTCATGTGAGGAAGCCATCCAGCTGGCTTACGGAAGGTCGGTGGTTCTACCCAGGTGCCCGCTCGTGCCTGAAATAATGCCCGGAGGGGCACCTGGGGTCTTCCTCCACCAATAAAGCTGGAAAAAAATCGACGAAAAAATCTCGGCGGGACGCTCTAGGATGGCCCGACTTGAGTGTACGGTCGCCCATATGGGCTTTCCGGCGGCGACCTTAAATAACGCATTAAAAAAAAAAAAACCATAATTAAGACCTGCAAGTCACTTACACATCAAACAACCACGTAGTATAAATATTCCATGCAAATGTAAAATCAATGGTCATGATTATGGATGCAATTCACCCTTCAATTCACAGCAGTAAAGAAAGGGGTGATTTGATTTTATGTAATGATTTCATTGAATTTCAAGTTTCAGTTCGGAATGTATGCACATTTGAATACTTAGTGTAATCTCCAATTTGGCCTGTCAGATATAATCAAAATAGGAAAGCATGGCGCCCAAATGTAAAATGGTTTAATACTTCTCATGCAACAATCTTCGTTACCGTTTTAAATGAAAAGTTTGACAATGCTACTAAAACAATAGGAAATTAAAACGATGACCCAAAATCTTTTGCTGTTAATAAACGGCATTTCATGAAAATGCAGACTTGAACACTTTGAGCAATAAATATTTTATGGAAAGAAAAAAAAAGTTTTTTTTGGTTACTGATCACGTGATCAAGCGCTAAAATAACTGTTATTCTACTCGATGATGCATGCAGATCTGCACTTTATCCGAAAAAAAAGCAAAAAAAAAACAACAAAAAAAAAAAAAAAAAACAACAACAAAATAATGCGCTTCACAACACCACCTGTAGCAAATACTTGTACATGTTATGGCACGGAGCAAATCTTATGCGCAAAGTATAATACTCCTATTTATTGAAGCATATTAACTGTCATTAGTTCTCTTTTAACTATTAAAGAGTCTGTATGTTGTAATTGAGGTTGTTACCACACTTAACTGAAATTTAATATATATGTATATAATTTATATGCTTATAAAACAAATTTCAAACATTGAAGAATATGTAAAATATGTCCTGCAAATATTTGTGCACATGATATGTAATCCTGAAATATATGAATTCATTTCTTATGGAAAAATTTGACTTTGACTTTATAGAAAATAAATTTCTATTTACCTCCCTTTATTTACACGAAATGTTAAATTCGGTAAAATCGTTATAAATAATGCTTTTTAGAACTTACAATATTGATAAATCTTAATTTGAGCATCATATTTATGATATAAAATCATAAAAAATTGTGTTACGGGATCTTTAACTGTTTAGAAGCTTGTTTTTTGTTTTTATTGTCGTTGTTTTTCCCCCACTCGAATCTTTGTAATCATGATCAAAACATGAGTTATGAACATATACATGTGCTGGAAATTAAATAAGACTCGGGGCCGTATTCATAAACCTGGGTAAAATTTCATTATCTGCAAAAAATACCCTAAGGTAGAAAATCCCTTTATTTGAAATTATGAAGACCCCTTAATTGAATCATTTCTGTCTGATAAGCCCTTTTAATGAATCATGTTTAATTAAGGATCATGCAAATACAATAATGTCGGGGTTCTTGTAATTCTCCTGTACGGAATGGTTACCTACGAGGATGAGGTCTGCATAGTTTTTACATTCCATGGTTAAATATTCTTATTTATGTTTGCCTATGTCCTGATTTGACATATAATTAAAAGTTGTGTAAATATTTTAAATCGACTTTCTTTCTACGAAACGTTCAAACAATTTCAAAAAGGTCGAATCGTGTCCTTAAATTTCACGACTGCATTGATTTGCCTTGATACCCTTATGTTGTTTTAATTGTTTTAATGCACGAGTGACACTTGGATGTTATTTTTCGTCAGTTGCACCAAGTGCTTCAAGCACTTTGATTCACTCCTTTGTGGTAGTTTAGCAATTTGAACGTGCATATCTCTATCCTTTCACCGTTTATAATGGCGAAATTAGTCTACTTCCTCTATTAATATTTTGCTATTATTTGAGGATATTTTCTTGATGTTATTGTTATTGGTATGTTCTGCATTTTTATTTGAAATCACAAGACCGTCTTTTCATTTAGCAACAATGAAGTTGACACTGCCATTTGTTAAAAGCACGAAAAGGTTGAAAGAACCAGAAATAAATTTAAATTAATTTAAGATATTTAAAAAATGTATCAAAATACATGTAGTTATACAAAGTTTATAAATGATAGACATAAATTACATGCTTAAACTTAGTTTCCTTTAATTAATTAATGATATAATCGGGCTATTAAGGCAGAAATGTGTTCCAGCCATTAAATTTAAAGTATAATGTGTGCAGATGTGTTTGTCATGTAAATGCCATAAAAATCCAGTGGAAGTAGGACTGTCAGTGATAGAAACAAAATTGTATAAATATATTGAAGCTGAATATTGATGATACATTGAGTTAAATAGCTAGTACAGTGAAAACCATTTGTATAACAGTTACAAACTGTCAGCATGGTGGCGCAATAGCTCAGTTGGTTAGACCACTGGCGGTCACTTCTGAGGTCCTGGTTCGATCCAAAAATATCATCCGGGCTGGAAATAAACATAAGGATCTCGGTCCTTGTGGCCTGAAAAAAAAAAAGATTTTCGCATAGACTGAGCCTATATAATAATACACTGTGTATGCTAGTTTTACAGCATTTTTGTTTCAATGTTAAAAAAAACAATAATATATTCATTAATAATTTAATTGCATGTTTAATCATTATTAATGTTTAACATAATTATTATTTTGCAAATAATTCACCTATGATATACTCCATTTAAAATGATATGTCAAATTATCCAGTCTTAGAAATAAGCCTTCACAACAATGGGCTACCAAAATAATTGAGATTGCCTATAAACATGTGTTTTAAAGATAAATATAGTGGTATACAATCGCGATCTGATGTTACATCACTACTGTTTCTTGGCATACTTCCGTTGACAGTGATTAATTAATAGAGTGCCAGCTTTGTTTATGTTACGTTTAGTAGTCATTTATTTCACTCTATTGATCTTTTTACAATATATATCAAAGGGACAAAGCCTGGTAAGCCTTTAATTAAGACAAAAATCATTCACCATGAAGAGAAGAAAGTACATCAAAATTTGATTAATTAGTCCCCTACTGGTTTAACCGGAGGGGACTTTAGGTTTACCCTCCGTCCATCTGTCTGTCCGTCCGCACTCACAGGAGAGTAATTATGTGGCTAGAGGGACAATAGGTTACTGTTCTTTCTCTTTGATGTCATTCATTCCATAATGCTTTTATGTGGCTATTTTCTTTTGTGTGGCTAAAAAGAACAATAGAGAGAACAATAGAGTAGCCACATAATTACTGTCCTGTGAGAACTTCCGTCTGTCAGTCCGTCCGTCCACAAAACTGGAATCCGCGATAACGCAAAAAGTACTCAAAATATTTTTATGAAACTTGATATATGGATAGATGGCAGTATGGAGATTATGCACGTCTTTTTCTTTTCTTCCTATGTTGAAAATTCTGGTTGCTATGGCAACAAATAGCATGGATTTCAAGATTTCTGATTTAATTTTTTCAGCTTTTTCACTATAAGTTCTTTATTTCTTAAGGTGTTTACTTCAAACTTTAAATATAAGTTTCTGGTCATCAACCACATCATATGTGACAAGGTTTAAAACTCTAGCACAAAAATTATCAGTATTACCTCCCTTGAACTTAGAATTTTTATGAAAAAAAATGTTGTCTTTTTTAAATAACTTCTTTATTTCCTAATGTATCTACTTCAAACTTCATATATATGTTTCTTATTATCACTCAACATTTTTGAGAAGGTTTAAAATACTCTAGCAAGACTATTTCCAGAATTATGTCCCCCTTGAACTTAGATTTTTTTCGAGAAATTGGTATTTTTTACTCCAACTTCTTCATTCCTTATAGGATTTACTTTAAAATCCCACATCGTAATAATATGACAAGGTTGTATAAACATAATTGCCTTACTAGGCAGGGAAACTTAACACATTACTGTGAAATAGACAAACTTGGAACTCAAAGTCAAAAGATTTAAGTTCATTCATGTCATTCATTCACTGGTAAAATTGAAATCAGAATGTTGCTGGGGTTCTAACCGGTAGGGGACTTATGGATTGCTTGCAATACTATGATAATTGCTTGTTTATTTGGGCTTGTAAAGTTAGTTTCGTACAAAGTTACTGGCCCAAATGGTGAGTAAGTTCAAAATGTTTTTTTTGAAGACTGATTTTATATGTATATAAATAAAAATCTTGTTCTTATTTTTCTGCCATGAGAGCATGATTGTATTGGCTATATGATTTGAAATAGAGTAGCATTTCATTGGCTTTGATAGTTTTTTGCTTAAGCGAAGTTTAAGGGCTGACACATACCTATTCCCAGCATCACCACGGGTCAGATTATCAGATCCATTCCCATTGACAAATATGCTTATTTTTTCCCAATCTTTAAAAAAATTTCCAATTAAATAGAAATCAGGATATGCAAACTAACAATTTTGAATTTCAGTATTTTCATGAACAGACAGAATTTGCCTGGCATTTTATTGTCAAATTTCATTGAATTTGTTATAAATGCTAAAGTTGATACTTGCATTGGTTAGGATAAACAATGTCACACAATTAAAACTCAACTTCACCTGTGACCATAAGAGCCTGAAAGTAGGTTTCAAAAAGTACCATATATTTTTTCCTATTTAAACAATTTTACGATGCTAAATTTCCCTAACTGGGCAATTTTATATAACACACATTTCAGTAGTCCTTTGTTAAGGTCAAGGTCACAGTGTCTGCTTTCTATTTTTAAATAGCTTGAAGAATGTTCATGATATTTTGGTCATTTTTACCTTTTTGAGACAAATTGTAAATTCTGGATACAAGTTGGCCTGCTGCAAAGTCAAGGTGACTGTTACATTTTACAGTTCAAACTTCAAAATGATAAAGGTTGATACGGCAATTTTGTATCCGCTCAATACACTTATAGCACCTTGAGGGATATGTATATTTAAATATTCAGATGTTTATTTCATGGAGGCAGCATGCAGTTGAGAATTTCAGGCATTTTGAAAGACAAATCTTTTCATGATGATGTAAGAGCAAATACTTCACAGATTAAAGCAATTTTGCATTTCGCAAATGTTAATTGCTCCACCTTTGCAGTAATTTAATAAAATCAAAATCAATAGGTGTTGTTTTTTTCTCAACTAATTTAATTTGCTGGTTATGTTCCCAAAGTATCGAAAATAACAAATACATACATATAAATACCCATCTGCACTTGTGAATTATAAGATATCCTTTGTTCTTGCTGTGCAGAAAATCAAATATTTTGCATTTGTTTTGCACTTGTATGATATAAATGGTGAAAATTGATCTCTTTTGCGTCTGGTTTATTGACCATTTCAGGTTGTTTTATATTATATACGTTTAAACCACATCATAAATTAAGCTGTTTCTTATATTATTTTAATACATAAACCTATTAAATCATACATTGTAGGTTGAAAAAAATAGGGGAAATAAAATGATTTAATATATATTTATTTCATTAAATTTTGATGACATTTTCAATTGTTGCTGAATCGTCATACTTGGAAGAGACATTTAGGGTGAAAGGAAATATTAGTGTAAGAAGGAACAATATTTTTGAAATGGATATTTCAACATATTTTTATAATTATAATTACAATATAAATCTTGATATGTTTCAGAGAAGTTAACTGGTTTCTTGCATTAAAACATTTTTTTTTAAAGATTTATCTTCCAAGCGCATTGAGTTTTTTAATAAATGTAGTAAACAAGCAGCTAAAGATTTTAAGTGATGCAAGTTCCCTAGATCAAATTGATGGAAAAATTTGATTGAAGATCCTAAACTTTTGTTGTTATTGCAAATCTAGGAACATAAAGTTTTGTACTAATTATGCCTATTCTGTTTTGATATGCAATAAATGATCCTTTAAAAAAGTTCTTGTGAGAACCTTACCAATCTCATTAAAATCAGATTGATCAGTTTCGATACTTTTCCAATACTGTATGTTACAGAGTAAAAAGAAGTGGTGTTAGGTTAGCTGTGAACAACATCAACTTTTTAAATGTAATAGCAATTTGTAGTTGTTTTTTTCCAGTAGGTTTTATAGCCAACTCTAGGATATAATGTAAGCAATACCGTATATCAGGTCTTTTTCACGAGTATCTAATTTTTGCTTTATTCGCCTGCAATGAAAATTGGGGTAAAAGTAGATTCGCTAAATTTCCCTTCAATTTAATACAAGGATTTCACATATTTCTGAAGCTTGATTTTCCTTTAAATTTGCTACCCAGTTTAGTTGTATATAGTTTACATTTTGAGGCAAAGATATCAATTATCTAATATCATCCGATATTCATGGTTATTAAGCATTAAGTGTTATTAAGTACATAAAACACATTGGCACAGTGAGCAAACATGTATTTTGTATATGCTTATTTAACCAATTGTTGATATGATAAGATAATTCACACCTTTCAAGTAGGTATACAAACATAAGCAGATTTACAATAACATGTTAACAAACAAGAGCTGTCGGTAGGACAGCAACGCTCGACTATTCTTAGTGCTTGATAGTAAAAAAAATATGCTTGATACAGTTGGGGTAATGATGGTGAACAAGTGTGCAAAGTTTCAAAGCCATATGTCAATGAACTTTGAAAATATTTGATGTATTACAAAAACTTTAACATAAATTCTAAGTCGAAAAAGGGGCATAATTCTGTCAAAATGCTTGATAGAGTTACCTCCTCCTGTCTACAAGTTGGGGTCATGATGGTGAACAAGTGTGCAAAGTTTCAAAGCCATATGTCAATGGACTTTGAAAATATTTGAGGTATTACAAAAACTTAAACGTAAATTCTAAGTCAAAAAAGGGGCATAATTCTGTCAAAATGCTTGATAGAGTTACCTCCTCCTGTCTACAGGTTGGGGTCATGATGGTGAACAAGTGTGCAAAGTTTCAAAGCCATATG